AGCATCGGTAAAATCGCATTCTTCCATCTTAAAAACATATCTAAATTACGACATGCTTTCAATGAAAAATGCAAAACAGTTACTTCATGCGTTCATGACATCAAGGCTAGATTATTGTAATGCTCTTATGGGTGGTTGCCCTGCACGCATAATAAACAAACTACAGCTGGTCCAAAATGCAGCAGCTTGAGTTCTTACCAGAACCAGGAAGTATGACCATATTAGCCCGGTTCTGTCAACACTGCATTGGCTGCCTATTAAACATCGTATACATTTTTTTATTTAGCACCTAAACTTTGGAACAGTCTTCCTACCATTGTCCGGGAAGCAGACACACTCTGTCAGTTTAAATCTAGACTAAAAACACATCTCTTTGACCTAGCATACACATAGAAAAGTATACATTCCTAATATTCAAATCAGTTAAATGATTATTAGGCTGCATAAGTCAAGTCAAGTAAAGTCATCCTCATTTATATAGCGCTTTTGACAATGTAGATTGTTTCAAAGCAGCTTTACAGAGATAAACATATAATTTAAGGTAACAGAGATTGGTTCGGTTTTAAAGCGGTTCTTGAATAATGTTATTTTCCAGCTAAAGTTAGTTTTGATTCATTCACTTCCGTCGAAATGATCATGTTATTAAATTAGGGGCCGCTAAGACGACACCATTCTCTCTAAACAGACTTTAAACGCGAACCTGTGATAAATGGTGATGGCATTCACATGCGCATTAATTGATTCTATAGTTATGTGCGTTTGAATATATGTGCGCAGGTTTGTAATTCCCTACACAAGCAAACTACAAACTAAAACCTAAACAAACTACTTGTCTTGCCTATTAATTTTGATACAGAATTTTATTTTATTTTATTTTATCACTTCGGGGGAGGTACGCGAACCAGAATTTCACAACGCTTTATAGGGATCCTCCATAGGGAGAGGATAGTTGGCACTTCAGCACTGCGTTGTCATCGGGTCCAGGCAAAGGTCCTTCGTCAGATCTGGAAACGGCCTGGGTCCGGCAGGCTGCGGGAAAACCTCGGAATAAACAAAGACACTAAAATTATAGTCTGCTTCCCGGACAATGGTAGGAAGACTGTTCCAAAGTTTTGGTGCTAAATAGGAAAAGGATCTACCGCCTGCAGTCGATTTTGATATTCTAGGTATTATCAACTGGCTGGAACTTTGAGATCGCAATAGACGTGAAGGACTATTGTGCGTTAAGAGCTCTTTCAAGTACTGCGGAGCTAAACCATTTAGTGCTTTGTAAGTAATCAGCAATATTTTTACATTTATACGATGTTTAATAGGCAGTCAATGCAGTGTTGACAGAACCGGGCTAATATTGTCATACTTCCTGGTTCTGGTAAGAACTCGAGCTGGAACTATTTTCACGTTCCGTGTGATCAAATCACCAATTACCAGGGCACAATCAACAGATTTCTCAGTGGGTGTTTCACTGAGCATGGCAAATCGATTTGTCATGGTAATCGGAACGGAAGAGTGGTTTTTTGATCCGCGACAAGAGCGATCCCTCACTGTCACCCATTTGCCTTGCTGCACAGGCAATAGTTCAGCCGGAACCGAATCATGTAAAGAGTTCACTATGCTAGGCGCATCCAAAATAGTATCTAAAGCCTTAGCACACTTACTATCCTCAATTAAAGTTTGGATGCGTGTGTCTAGTTCTGAAATCTTCTCCGTCAGCCTGACTGTCTCCTTGCATTTATCACATATAAATCCTATATTTCCGACAGAGAAGGCTATGCTAAACATGTGACATGAAGTGCAGGTGACAATAACAGGACAAGACATTACTCACCGTGACATTACTCATTCATCATATGCACACTTCAGAATCTCGCAGGTGTGGCGAAGAGATGAGTCGCAGCAGCTTAGGACCCAAGCAATTCGATTGGATCAAAGCATATTTTATGGCTAATCGCATTAGTGCCTGTTTACAAATCAGATAAAATCACTTTATTATATAAGTCGTTTGAACTACGTTATAACGACCATTAATGTATTTTAACGTATATGTTTCATATAGTAGTAGGCTATGTAACAGAAGCTATAGATTGTGAAATTAAACATTTCTCGTTCTTGGTGTTTTTTTTTAAAGTAGCTTACAATTAAATTACTATACAATAGCTGTCTGTCTTTCTGTAAAGTGAGTACAACATGAAAAGCCTAGATTACTTGATGGCAGAAAACTCCTAGACTACCTGCTTAAAATGTTTTTACAAACTGCTTTTATCTTATCTTGTACATACCAGCGGGATAGCATGCTACATAAAGCTACCACATAAAGCCAACAGCTCACGTTAGCTGGGTCATTCCAGAATTGGAGGACATGTCCCACCTATGAAATTTCAAATAATCTATGTACAATATACAAAAAAATGCAGTCACTGTGTAAAAAACACTTGTCCTGGGACTAAATATAAATAGACTTGAAGATTTTTTTCCCCCAAAAAAATTATTGAAAATAAGAAAAAAGTCTCTAGTACCGTCATTTTTCTCTTGTCCCACCTTCTAGATGACCAAATTTAATGTTAAATACAACTGTTAAAATACATTTTAAATATCCCTTTTTTATGATTTTGTTTATATATGCCTCTTTTAATTGTTAGATTTTTTTTTTAAATTATAGAAATATTTCAAATAATAGAAATGTTGCAATAAAGTTATGTCCCACAACATATGTGCAACCCTGTTACCGAAACATATTTGTCCTGGCAGAAGAAGAAAAAAACAGTGAGTGACATGATTCACAGGAAATGACATCACTAAGCAGTTTGCCTCAAAATGGGTTGAACAAAGGTATGGCCTCTTTTGGATTTTTCATATTATTATTTTTAGCCTTGATGGAATGTGTCACTCTAACCAATGCAACCCTGTTACACTTATTTTCAGCATAAGACAAATTAATTTAAAGGTTTTCTTCTTCTTTTTACACAAGTAAGTTTGTCCTAAAGATGACAGTAAGAGCTAGCTAATCAGTTAGCTTCTATTCATGAGAAAAAGCTAACATTAGCATTAAGTTGCAACCCTGTTACCATAATTAGAGTAACAGGGTTGAATCTCCTTCAATCCACTCATAAGGGACAATTATCAATAGTTCAGCTAAATAATTAATGTAATTTTGATTATAATTTAGCATACATTTCATGTTATTAATGTATTGCTATGGGGTGCCAGATGTAAAAATTCAGATACAATTTTATAGCTGATCTATTTTAATTATTTAGCTCACTTTCCTCACATTTCACTAATTTTTCTCACATTTAAGACAGAAATTCGTGTAAACCACATGTTCTTTGCAATTGTCAACAATATGTTTGAATTTTTTTTATTAAATCTTAATATTAAATCCAAATCTAAATGTAAATATTAAATCTAAATATTAAATCTAAATCTATTAAATATTAAATCTAAATATTAATTCTAAATCTAAATATTAAATCTAAATCCAAATCTAAATATTGTCTTCAATGTGAGAAATATTATCTAAAGATGAGGAAAGTGAGCTAAGTAATCAAAATATATCAGCTTTAAAACTGTATCTGAATTTTTACATACTGTATTTTACAGAATATATTTGTTTCCCCTTTTATGTCAACCAGGTAGAGTTAATAAGCACTTTGCTCATTATCGCTTATCTGGCCGAACTGCCCTTCATTGTTAATGTTAAGTGTTACCAAATCATGTTGAGTTAATTTTATATAGATTAGGTTAATAGACATGTTCCCTGACCCATTCCCTACTATTCTACAAATCCATAAATACTTAATGTAAATCTTTTAATATACTGCGCACAGACAGACGAACTGACACAGACCGACGGATGGACTGTTATAAGATGTTATTAAATGTTATTCAACAATGTTCCTGAGCATTTGTCACATTATTGACCTGATCTTTAATCAAAAGTAATGTATCTATCCAACCCCTGTAACTTTTCGCAACCCTGTTACTTAAATTTCAACCCTGTTACCATATAATTTTTATTAAAATAATCATAAATTACTTTTTTAGCACACAGGGGCTTGAGCTATTGTCCTTACCGTAGTTTGAAGGATTATATGCATTATGCATTTGAGCAAATACTTGAAAATATATCCTGAAATCAGTCAAATTAAATATGTCACAGTTTAAAACTTGGCGAACTCAAAAGTTACTGAAATGAATTTAAATCAAGTGATATCTGAAATTAAATAGTTATATAGAGCGATTGTGACTTAGGCTTTACTTAATGGCAGGAAATTATATTTTTTTTAAAAATCAATAAATATACTTTTTTCAGGTTCCCGAGTATTGGTAACAGGGTTGCACTGAGCACAAAAACAAACAAAAACAAAACAAACAATAGTAGAAAAAGTGTGCCTTTGATACCTGAGCTGGACGAATCAAATTATTTAATGGTATATTGCCTGTTTTTATGAAATACATAATAAAAAATAGTAAAATAAAGGGCCAATTTTTCAAAATTATGGATGCTTAAATTGTCCTCCAATTCTGGAATGACCCAGAACAGCTTTATATCAGGCCTATTACTGGGGGTGGGACTCACCGGAAGAACTAGGTCATCCGGGTACTTTTTGCCTACTCTTTTATGAGTAGCGTACTGTGAATTCGGGCATACTTTGTTTGTCACATACTGTTTTCGCTTACTAGCCTATATAGTAGGGAAGAATGTGATTTCTGATACAGCCTATATCTGCTTGGTATTTACAATAATTGTATTCAAATTGGTAACAGAAATGGAAAAAATTAAAATAAATCATACGACTATACAGATTATTCTTTGCCCTATAGTAGCCTTTATATCTAAGTTAGTCATGATATGTTAAGGAAATCGTGAGGTTCTGGGAAACTATTAAAACATTGTAAATATAACACAATAACCTGGATGGACACGTATAAACCATAACAAATGTTTAATGGAACTTTAGCGAATGACATGATTGTCTGTGTAAAATGCATTACTCTCCACGCCTGTAGAGGCGCTGTGTCGTGTAAACCCTTGCGGTGATGCAAATCCTAGTTATGAAAGACCCGCTCAGTGGAGTGCAGAGAACTCGATTGAGGACCGTTGAAGGTAATTTACTGTTTACATAACGAAATAATACTTAAACTAAACATTTATTAAACGTGAACGTGGTTAAGGTCATTAAAACCTAATGTATATATCTGTAACAGGTTCAAAATGGTGCTGGGGCGGATCTTTCATGCCTTGATAAATAACACTCAGGTGGTGGAGAAGCTCGCGGAGTCTCGAGCCATGAGACGCGCAGCGCAGATCACGGCCTTCGCCATCACTAAAGCTCAGATCGCCGGGAAAAACGCCTCGAATAAGCTGCTCACATCCCACACCTTTCGCCAGATACGCGAGGAGACCTCACAGATGCCCAGGGGAGTGGGAGATTTAGGTCGAAGAGCTTCAAGGCTGCGGGACACGTTTGTGAAGGAGGTGAAAGAGGGAATAAAGGACGCTAATCGACAGATAAAAGACAAAAAGTGACTGATGTAGAGCTGAATGAGGACAGCGTCATTTAAAGACTCAGACTGGAGTTCTGTGGCTCTTAATAGACTTATTTAAATGAATAGCACTTTAAAGATTGCTTGTATGACCGGAAGTGCCATGTTGTTTGAGAAATAAATGGTTAAAATTAGTGTTTTTGGATTGGTTGTCACGTTCTTGAAACCAAAGTGTTGCCAGATTATTAAATAAAGACAGTTCAAAGCTACAATGATTCATTGAGTTTCATGAGGGCCTAAAAAAAAAAGTAAAATCAAGGTAGATTATGTAGCTTATTTATGTCTCTATAACACTTCGCCACAAAGGTTACAAATTGACGTGTGACCCAGATTGACAAATTAAGCTTTAAAAAGGTGCTTTTGAAAAACACAAAATCGTTTCAAAGCGGTTGTATTGTACATTTTTAAGTCATGAACAATGTGTTTAAACAAGTTTCACTTGTTAAATAACATTTCGAAGTGTTTAAATTAAAAATTTTGACTTTATGTCAGGCGGTACAACCAAATAATTGTGTATACTGTAGTTGTACTACCTGACATGGAAACTATCAGCCAACCCATACTTGAAATAAGTTTTTACCAGTATTTGAGAGAGATCTACAAACCTTTACACTCTGCCACAAGGATCTGGATGATGCATTATCATGTTTACTGTTACCTTGTCAATTCATAATAAATGAGCCATGTTTGCAGTTGTACCACCCTGACATATACAAATTCACGGACAAAAGTTTTTCAATTATCTCAACAGCTTTAAAACTACTGATAATTATACAAACTGTTTATATGAAAGGGTTCAAACCTAAAATAATGCCATAATATTTAGTTCGATTTTTTTTATTAAAACACCATTTTAAATAGTTTTCTTAGTCTGTTCATTTATTCGGACAGTTGCACAACCTGACATTTTGGGGGTTTAAGATAAAACAAATTAATATGCATTATTCAAATGTACTAAAAATGAATGGTTTTATAGAATAACGGGATATTTGTCATGAATTTATCAAAAAATGTATAAAGAAAAAATGCACTTTGACACAAATGTGGCCATTTTAATCGAAACTGAGGCACCGGTGGATTTCCATAATACATAAAGAAGTCAACAAGCGCTTGTTAGAAGTCTAACTGTGTGTAATGTCAAACAAATAGGGTCTATCAGTGGGTGAAACCAGGCGCTCTTATCTTTAATACGTTCCTTATCTTTGGAACGTTTCACTGTTCTTCCCTATGTTTGTTAATTACAATTCCCTGGTTCACAACACTAACCAAATGAATAATTGCATGCCCACATCTGCAAACGTACTGCTGTTTACTGAATCTCAGCAGCTCCACATCAGTTCCTGTGCCATTGCTTCAACACTTAAAGGGATAGTTAACTTCCAACCCAATCTCATGAGAAAACAGAACTTTCATGAGGTGATGATTTGATTTGAATAAAAACAAATGATTTTAAGAAGGTCCACCCCTAAACCTAACCGCCAGTGGGGAGTAAGCGGATCATATGAAAACCCACCAATGATAATATAGTAAGAATTTATATGAATTAGCTACTAATTCTCAGAAATTGTAAAATAGTTGACAGTGTGTTGTAAAATTGTCATCATTTACGAACCCTGCCTCATTTCCATCAACTGTTGATATTGTGAAGAAAGTTGGTAACCATTTTGATGACCAAAGAAGAAATAAAATAATAGAGGCTTGGAACAGCATGAGGAGGGCGAATAAGTCATACCAAACTGAACTATCCCTTTAGTGTGCCATAAATGGCCTTGCATTACCATAATGACAACTTTCAGAAGTGCATTGATGTTTATATCCTTGCAGATGTAAATATACTTCAGCACTCCACCTGAAGGAAGACTCACACCAGCTCTGTGCTGTATGAGAAAGATTTTGTTTTATTGTTCTTGAATTAACCATTCTCTTGTTCGTTGTGATCAATGGAATGAATCAGATCAGTAGGTTATTTACATGTTTTTGTTTTTTTTGTCCAGTCCCAAAATGTCCCTAAAAAGCAGAGGTGTTGAGGTGGTAGAACAAGCAGTCTTAGTATAGAAAACAATCATGTCGTAGGAAGAGCAGACGGGACCCCTTCTCCGGGACGGGTTTAGAAAAAAAAAAGGAAACAAAAAGTCTCTGGTGAAGCTCTTCTTCCAGCTGAGAGGGGGAACGGACAGAGCCGCTGATTCTTCCAGCTGATGATGATGATGATGATGAAATGGTGGGCAGAGAGGAGGAAGAGACATAACTAGCCTCAAATATTGTGTCAATAATCGTCCTGGCTCTGTTTTCTCTGCGGTCTCCTCGCTGCCCTGCATCTTGTCGTTTGTTTCAGTTTGGGAAAATAAAGGGTGGTAACAGAAAAAGGGGGAAAAAAATATATTCATACTATTTGTTTTGTTAAATATCTTGCTCTAATATACATTTTACAATGTCAAGAAAATAATCCCATCATAATAGTGCTCAAGTAAAGCTCAATATAGACTTTTATTATAACAAAATAGGCAGTTTATGGAGGGTTAAATATCTGTCAATATCTCATTGTACAATAAATTTCTTCCACATATGCGCTGGCATTTTATTGCCTCTTAAAAATATCAGTTCCTTACAAATGGCGGACTTTCCTAGATGTAAATCAAAGAGTTGAAAACATGTACTCTGTGTAAGACACTGATTGTAGACTCCGACATTCTAACGGTGGCGGGCCGTCATCCACACACAACGGCTCTGAAACGCAGACGATTAGAATGAGGAGAACAATAAGCATGCCAATACAACAGTCGAGGGGAGAAAAAGAAGTAAATCAATGATGATCAATGTGCGGAACGGACAACGAGAAAGAAGGGCCGGAGAAACACCTGGTCTTAAAAGCTACGACGTGCAAACTTTTGCCTTTTTGTGTTTCTCTCACCATTTGAATGAATCCAATGCCTGAGACTCTGGCTCCATGTTACCATTTACACAAAAAACAACACAGAAACGGATGGGTCAAACGAAAAGAGAGACGTGTGTCGGAAAATCCAGATCGCTGTCTTTGTCCTTACAAAGTAACCTCCCTTAAACATTAAGGAACTGTCCCGTTTCCAAACCCCTGGTAAACAGATGCCGCTCTGGCGCAGCTTTTGCTCTCTGCAAGCGTGGAAGCAGTGGAGATCCGAGGAGGACAGATCACCTTCTCTTGAGAGTCAGGAGGTGCAGATGTAGGACTGAACAGAGATCCAAGTACGTTGGATTAAGGAATTAATCTGTTGAGCGAACGCCGTCGGTTGGAGAAGCCCGACTGAGATTATTCGAAAAAGAACACAAAAAAAAAGAGAGAATCAATAAATAAATCAGGCAGAGAGAAGGGGACGATAATCTCCTGAAGGCGCTCATAGTTTCTCCTTGGACTGCACCCATATGTACGGCCCAGACTGTTCCTCGATGATCTGCTTGACTTGATCGTAGATCTCTTCCAAGGTGTCGCCCTGAACGATCGCTGCAATGCAGAGACCGCCACAGTGAGGTGAGAGATGCATGCAGACAGTGTAAACTGACAACAGTTGGATTCTTACAGTGGCAATGGTGGAACGGTCATCCAATGAGTCAATAAGGGAGTTTATCTAGGCTTTTTGGTTAGTTAGTCTTACATTTCAGCAGTGGTGCTTTAAAAGGGCAGAGCAGAAGAGTCACATGCCCCTGAAACAAGTGCACTTAAAACCACAAAGGTGTATAATTTAATGATATAAACATCCTCTCGCTTTCAACTGCTTTTTTCAGCACGTTTCTTAAAAGGTGTAAATATTTGTGTGAACATAAAAAGAGATTTAACAAGCCGTTTCACATCTGCAGTCCTCATGGAGTGTTCGTGCAGGTGATCATCCTAAGTTACTGTAACTGTGAGCGGACTGTGTGATATTACAGTAACTGATGGTAAAATGCTCTTTTAGAAATTACCTTTTTAAATTCATCTCTTTTGAAGCACCTTTGAAGCCATCAAAACACAAACGCACCAAATGCATAGCCTGCTGTGAGCAGCGTTCTTGTCATTGTGTGTATAGCTCTCTGGATTTGTGGGAAGACTACATGTGCATTTACATTTATGCATTTTGCAGACAAGTTGATCCAAAGCAAACGGCATTTTAGCAGTTTGTATGTTTCCTGTAGGGCCTGAAAAAAACCCCAATCTGTTCACTCCCAGCAGAATCCGTCCTTTAACGTTTCTGTGCGTTCCTTCTGTAACATTACCCTTCTGACAATGTTTTGATTCGAATAAATACTGGTTAATAATTTTTTTTTTTTTACTTTTTTTGTCTATACTAAATACAAGAGCTTGAACAGAACAGAACTTTATACTATGAGAGACTGTCTCGGCTTCTTTGCAGTGCAAAGGCAAATAAAGAACTGGGCTGGATTTCCCGAAAGTTTCTAAACGCTACGTTAGCTACTATACCGTTAGTTATACTAGAGACTATTTATATAGAGACATGCCACTTCATCAATCCTTAATACAACTATATAGGGAAAACCCGTAACGCCAAAGATGGCGGTTGTATGCACATGTCCCGCCCCTCCCGCTGGAAAGCCAATCGTCTGCTTTTAACAGTCAAGCCGGGAAACATGTAAGCCTATCGTCTGGTTCCACTGACGCATGCGCACAGTTGAGGTTTGCGACAGCGGAAAATACGTTACTGTTTGAAAAGGCGGCAGATTTGATATGCAGTGTATGTGTGAGTTGTGTAATATCAGACATCAGAAGTCTCCCACAGATTAATAGCGGCTCCCTGATGCCCGCAAATTAGTTCAAATCTCCCGGAATCTAGAGCGAGCGAGCAAGAGCGAGCAACATACTGTGTTTCAAACTGTGTAGCGCGCGCACGACCGAGGGAGAGAACCCTTGCGCATGTGTAGTAAACGTATAACCTGTGGGGAAAAAGGCGTTTTAAACCTTATTTTGGGGCAAAGTCAACAAACTTTTTCAGCGATTTTTATCGTATTTTACTGCTGTTTCTATACAAGCAGTTTTTATGTCCCGGTGAACAGTGAAACTGCAGTTCTGACTCTCTGCCCATTCATTTAGATAGGAGCCTGGTCTTGTTAGTCCGAAATAGCTGCCCGGAGGCGTTGCCAAGATGGCGGCCGAGTGGCATGACTTGCCTAAAAGGACTTTGGTTATACCTTATCGTTAATACGTGTTTTCTGAAACGTTTCTTAGTTAAGTATACCTTCTGTAAGTCACACGGTCTGGACCACTCTTAGCTTTACCTCATCACTGTTGACAGTTCACTCCGATAGTGGCCATCGCTGCAAAAAGCTTCTTTACATCTCAGTCAATACGAATATAATTCTGAAGTGTTTTCATGCAAAGAATAAAATTGTCATTGCACTGATTGTTGTTAGCTTTTTAATTGTATTATCCAAAGGTACATCAGCTGGCAAAGCATTAGTCGGTAAAGGCTTAGTTTGCTCAAACGATACTGCGAATAGTTGTGCCAAAGGCCAGTGAAAGCATACTGCCAGTTCAGCCCTACTTGGACGGTAATTGTTTCTCATGGGGTCGTACCGTATTTTCAAAATTTACAGGGAAAGTAGGTTAGGTTTTTGACGAACACCAAGGTCGTGTGGTGATTTAACTGCCGTCCGAATCCACATCTCTAAGTTTACAAGAAGAGATCACTTCAAAATTCACTGTTTAAACCCTTTTTGATCACTATCGAGCACCGTACGTACGACGTACACTTTTATTACTGAAATGCTGGAAAGTATTTACAAGAACAATATTTCATCACAGCTCCACCTCAGCGAACAAGTAGCAGAAAGAGAGAAAAAGCACGTAAACATTTAAAATGGGCCGTTATTGTGGCGGCAATATATGATACAATTTTAAAATATGTAGGCTAGGTTAGTTTGGATTATTTTTTAGAATATCCCATGAGTCCTAATAAATGCAATTGCAACTATTTCTGAAGTGCTTCTTTTATAAAGAACTCAGCTTTCACACACAGCGCAGTGAAGCAGTCCCTGCATGAGTGAATCGATATCAACCAATTCAGCAGCACCGCCACGGACAGCACCTGGTCACGTCTCACGTAAGAAGGCTTATCTTAAGCAGCTTCCTAAGGTATTGTTCGGGGAACACGCCTAGAAATGGTATACCTTTAGTTAAGTTATACCTTAAGAGTCTTCGTAGCGCGCTAAGAGACAACGTTATCGGGAAATCCAGCCCTGGTTCTTTGAATGAGTACAGCATTTTCTTTATTCAAAAAACACGATATTTGTAAAGGCTAATGTTTTACGTATTTGAGGAGCTGAGAAGAGTGTCTTCGTCTGGTTTTTACCGTCTGGTCATAGCCAACACAGCCAATGCATGGCCAAATGTAGCCGTTCTAATGACGGACAAAACACAGATCTCCGACATTCTCTGGGGAAAAACCTTGCAACTCCATTTGAGTTTGATTTTCATAAAATGTTGACAATATAATGCAAGTGTCTGAACATACATAATGTCACAATACTAACTTAAATGACATGGTTTCATTGTTTTGTTTTGTTTTGTTTTTTTCCCCCTAAATAGTAGAGGTTCTACACTAACGTTTGAAAACACGCCACACTGGATATAACCTGACATTAATTTTCACTTAAATGTAATGCTTTAACAGTTGGTGGCATATCCTTGGAAAAACTCCTGAGATCCGAAAGCTAATTGAGTATTGCCATGGCGACTTACCTACGATGGCTCGACAATACACTCACGTTGGATGTGTCGAAGTCACATTTTGACAACGTTGCATAGGTCGTAATATTTTAATTCATGACTGGTTGACTGCCAAATTAAAATATTAAACAGAATGATAAAATAACATTATTGACCGGTTACAGGTAATTTCAAACTAGCGTTTCTGTTTAAAATGATTAAACTGCATTTAGTTTTCGTTTATGTTCTTGTTAAAATCTCGTTCGTTTACGTTTTTTTTTTTTTTTCATTTCTTGAACTGGTCCAGAGCACTGGTTCCCTGGGAATCAAACCAATGACCTTGCCATTGCTACATATATAGTGTATTGTAATATCAGGAATGTGAGTTGTGGTAGGCTGTAGTCTTGACGGCTGTATGAGAGACACACCTGTGAAGTGCTCCATGAACTCCTGTTCCAGCTTCATGGCTCTGTCGTATGTCTTCCTGCCTTGTTCCTCCGTCAGTCTTTTATTCATCTCCCTGAGGACAGAGCAAACAACATTGCCCTCTAATTACACACAGTTGTATTGCATTGCTTGTGGGTTAGTGAGTGATCCAATATTAAAAAAGGTTTGAGAAATAAATAGATTTGACGGCGCCCCAATGCCTTTGACTGGGTACGGTTTACAACATATGACACAATGGAAAAGAGGGTAAAGAATAGACATCCCACCCTTTCCATCAGCACCATAGTAATGTATTAGTCATTAATGGCATGACATTCTTTGTAAATACTAGTTTGATTTATTGTCTATTACTCACATGATGTTCTCCACTGATTTTGGTTTGATGAAAATGGCGATGGGATAAAGCACAGCCACTTGCAGCCTCTTGATGGCGTTGCCTGATACATCTAGAATGCAGTGTTTGCCCTGACGAGAGTATCACACACAGTTTTTTCATCTGGTTAGCACTCAGGATGCATGTTAAGCATTAGACTCCTGTGTTGTCAGCAATTGTGCAGGTGTATCGTGCATATTCTGCTTATTTCTCCAGAAATAATGCTAAGCTCTAATTCCTAAATAACATCATATGTAAACATTGACTAATGACATTCAAACACTTTGTTTTGTTGCCTGGTAAATGTAATGTATGTACAGTAGACTTGGTGTTGGTAATAACCTCACCTTTTCCGCCACCTCTTTGACAGACTGCACGCTGGTTCCATACAGGTGGCTGTTGTACTGGCCGGCCTCGATGAACTTGTGCTCCTGGATATCTTTCTCCATCTGCTCTCTGGACACGACAAAGTGGTAGTCTCTCCCGTCCACCTCGTAATCTCGCTTCGGTCTCGTTGTATCTGAGACAGAGAGGAGCACAAGATACATTATTATTATTACTGTGGGTTTTAGAACACAGCCACCCAGTTTATGCTGTGCAACAATATTCGAAGGCCCATGATTTATTCTATAAGAATTAGGAAAAGAATCAGTAAAAATATTTGTTAGTCACAATTTCTACCTGATAAGCTCATATATTAAAAAAATGTAAGATGAGAACCATTGGCCTCAATGACTTTTTTGGGAGCTATTGCAGTGCTTCTCAAACTTGTCCTGGGGACCCCTGCTCATTTTGGATGTCTCCCTCATCTAAAGCCTGGGACACACCAAGCCGACGTCGAGGAACTAGCGACTACAGCTGACTGTGTTGTCGCCTCTCGCTGGCTGCGTCTCGGCCAAAAAGCTGCACTTGAACTCACCAAAAGGACTAAAGGCAACTGTAAACCAGCATGTGCGTTCTGCGTCTGCGTGTAAGTAAATATCTGCCTATATCAGCAGGTATTTTCATCATTCAAAAAAAGGAAACTGAAACTAGGTCTGCAGATATACACACGTAAGCAGCAAAGCAGTGCTTGCTTACAATTATAAGTTAAATTTTCAATATGAATCACTTTCTTCATTCCAGTCAGCTCATGTTATTATGAAAATATTTGTGCATTCGAATGCTCAAGCCACATTGGATCAGCGATTTGAAAAATGGATGGATGGATGATTTAGCTGTGAGTGCCATCTTCTGGCGAGACAGAGTGCATTATGGGTATTCTCTAGCCGTCGAGTGTACATCGGTTGTACACTCGTTATTGCGGTGCATTGTGTGATTGAATGAGTGCACTTGATAACGTCCACTATGGTGACAGACAGCTTTACAAATGGCTGCCCCTTCAAATAGTGCCATATTTCTGTATTCTTAATGCCCGTTTTAATCAAACCGCACCATGAATGGTCCGAGTCCACTGCATTTTGAAGGGAAATTAATTAAATCACAGACATTGCCCAGTTTAATAACCTCACAGGTAATAATAATTAACATTACTTACTAGTAGAATTATATTAAAATCTCAAAAAAAAAAAAAAGATATTCAACCATGTCGATGTAATCAAAACTGCTTTTCTCATCTGACAAGCCTGCAAACCATCCTGTTAAATCCACTGCAGACACTGTTACGATGTCATCAGCTCATACACACCGTGTACAGAGACTTACGGGGAACACAGGAACCGAATTTGTCAGGGAACTCCGATATCAGGTCATCGTTTACTCTGTCCTTCATCGGACCCAAGATTATCACTGGCCGTGCGTAGTTCACTGTGGAAAGACCATACATGAAATCAATTACATTTTCCTAATAATAATTGTTCATGTTGGTTAATATTTATGTTACAGAGAATCATAAGCACTTTACCTTCCTGCTGACAGACTGGCTCATAAGAGAGCACATATTCCTCTTGACCACCTGAGAAATACACACACATACACACAGTTAAACCTAGAAAAAAATATCTCTGTACAATTCATCGTTTGGTTTACGGTATCGTTTTTAGACAAACAAATCCAGCCAAGCATATTAAGACACTAAAATCAATGCAATGTTTTCTGCTCATGCATTATAGAGTGGTCCAGGTATGACGTCAGAACCCAAAGACTAATTCGCCGCTGGTTCCTTCAAAATTTTCCTATGGGTTTTTATAATGGGGTTTTTCGACTGAACTGTGGAAAACATGACTTGAATATACTTTGACATTTTGTTCTACAACATAAATTACACACACCCAGGGCAAAAAGCTGAATTTTGAAGCAGTTATGTTCAGTTTGATTAAGTAACTAGATACGACTGCTTGAGGTGTGAGTGTGTGCAGTGTAAGTTGTAGAACAAGCGTCAAGTTATGTTTACCACAGGCTTTATTTTACTCATAAAGTGAAAAAAGCCCATTATAAAACCACATAGGAACATCTCGAAGGAACCAGCGGCGAACTGGGTTCTGACGTCATACCTGCACCAGTCTATTATTGAATGTGTGAAATTGCAACAAAAGCTATGCGAGATCCACTCGAGGCCGCTAGAGGTCCTCTATGCCACACAAATGAACAGTGTTAAGGCAATGGAGTCCTCCGTCATGGTTGGTATGAGACTGTCATAATGATTGAAGTGCAGCTCTTGCTGTGGATCTCAGCAGGCCTGCCTGTGCACTACGAGTTAGAGGCAGAAACGTGCTGTAAATGAATGAACATTGTCCTTTAAAGTTAAGGGCAGAATTTGTAAGGTGCCTGTGCCATGCGTGTGCTGTTTATTGCATCATACTGTAGTGTACTTAATATATGAAATATTATGCATTTATTCCCTTTCCCACAAGAAAGCAATGTGAAATACTGTACGTTAGTGCAGATAGTTAGTTATTCACATGTATGAAAGATCACAGAGAAATCACACAAAGTACAGCTTCAATGAAGACTTGATTTTCCAGGACATGCTTTTGTACTGCAGGGTTGTGCTGATACAATCAAATACTGATTATACTATTACAACTGGTCAGTACAAGTCCTGCATTGTATGACATCAGTTTCCAGCAAAACAATGAATTGCTGTGATGGAGCTTCACTGCACTGCACTGTAGCCATACAATTTCCATATCATTGCAAACTACATAAATGCTGAAGAAAACTTAACATTTACTAAAACATATCAGCATAAAATAAATTGCTACAAAATTCGGTAAGATTTTTAAAAATGTGTCTGAAATAAGTCTCTTATGCTCACCAAGGCTGCATTTATTTGATCACAAATACAGTAAGAACTGTAATATTGTGAAATATTATTACAATTTAAAATAAATGCTTCTTTCATAATACATTTGACAAAAATGTATTTACTCCTGTGATGTCAAAGCCGAATTTTCAGCATCATTACTCCAGTCTTCAGTGTCACATGCTGTGAAACTGTGATTTTCCGTGCAGGATTTTTGATGAATAGAAAGATCAAAAGAACATCATTTATTTGAAATAGATAACTTTTGCAACGTTACAAATGTCTTTACTTTCACAATTAAATGTAATTAACTATTACATAATTTAATACATCCTTACTAAATAAAGGAATTCAAGGAAATGGTGGTATAGCAGAACAAGTGGAAATATTGAAGAAGCTACATAAAAATTTGAACCAGTGTCCCAGTAAAAAAATTTTTAGTGGGCCCTGCTTGCATCAATTTTTTATTATTTATGTTTGAATTGATTAAATTTGCCACAATTTCATTGGCGATCCCATTATGATGCTGTGACGCATAGAATCGTGCCTCGAAGTGTCTGGTGTCATGCAGTAGCTGGTAATGCCCTGCTCTGATGCACAGTCTGCAGTGCTGATCACAGCGGTGTGTAATATCTTCAGAGTGGCTTTGATAGAACACTGTGACTCTGACTGTCTCTGACAGAGAGAGGGCAAGGGCTGGGTAGTGATGGGGGTGCACTGTTGCTATGGAGACTGGCGGAGGGCTCACTGATTGATTTTGGTATTGTATCTGTGTGGCTTGTGGAACATTACCCAGCCTGCCTCACTGCAGTGCTGCTCTGGTGAAGCGGGTGGGCGATGTAAACTCGTGAGAAGTCCAGAATAACACTGCTTGGCGATTTATTTATTTTTATATTGTATTATTAAATTGGATCTCACATACACGTTAGTTAGAGAGAGAGAGAGAGAGAGAGAGAGAGAGAGAGAGAGAGAGAGAGAGAGAGAGAGAGAGAGAGAGAGAGAGAGAGAGAGAGAGAGAGAGAGAGAGAGAGAGAGAGAGAGAGAGAGGAACAGTGTTAAATGTGAAAGAAAAGCAGACGAGGCCGACGGATGAAGGACACAATGGAAAGAAGAACTTACGGTAACTACTCTCACTATCACTGGCATTAGAGGTGACATGCTCTGAAATCATAACAGAGGGGAATGGATGATGAAAACCAAGAACAGGAGCACATGATGATGCATGAGGTGACTTCACATAAGAGTGGAAGAGCAATCCTGAGTCTCAGCAAAGTGGAGGAGTACAGACACACACCACTGAGGGACACAGTACACCTTCTGAGAATCTTCAATGCAACTGTGTCCCTCTCCAATTTAAAGACCACATGAAATCAAAACTTTAGTCCATAAGTTTTGAGGTCATGTGCTACTACTATACTCTTAAAAGTTGACAAAGTTAACTAGCGCAGGGGTCTTCAAACTGTGGTCGACGATGCCCAGGGGAATGCAAGCTTGTGCTTTGTAGAAAAGTTCATGGAAAAATAGTTGCAAAATGTTTAATAATAACATTAAATAAAACAATAGTTAAAAGTACAGAGTTTGACATTATTACGGTTTCATTCTGCTTTCTAAATACTGGTCAGAAATCATAAGATTGATCACAATTTTTGTTTTTATTACCAGCCATAGTTTCATGTTTCTTATCAGGTTTATTATACATCTCAAATTAATGTTAGCATAAAATAGCCTATAAATTTGAAAATAAAAATAGAGAAAAACAGTAAAGAAATGAATCCTTCCTAGCAGCAAATATTAATCTAAACGACAGAAACAGGGTAGTAAGCACACGCTCACGCAACGTTTGTCTATAAATGTCTTAAACATTTCAAATATTTACTACCCATTTTGCATACGCAGGCACATTTAAAGTTAGACTGAGAATTGATTTCCTTTCTGAAGGCGTCTTTGTCCATATTAGTGTGGCTTTATTGAGTTGTGATGTAAACTAAAAGCTACTGGATGACACCCAATGTCCTGATTCAAAACAAAATCCGTCAACGGGACCATTCTTCAATTGCAGTGGCAAGTTACCCCTACCCCTGCAACAGTTAAAATAAACTTTAAAAACCAATAAATCATTAAATGTTTGCATTTTTATATTGTGTAGAAAGGGAACAATTTGTGTACTGTTTTAACATGTTTAAACTGGTACAGTACATATTTAATAGAGTTTAAGAAATTTCATGTGCAACAAAATCAGCATGTTCCCGCCGTACAGACGTATCCTGGGATGTAATTGAAAAAATATAACATTTTTAGAACAAATAAAATAGTTATATTGTGATTTCGATTTAATTTACCAGGTACAATTTAATTAAATTGTTTAAATTTATAGAATTTTAGAATTTGCGGTAACACTTTACAATAAGGTCTCATTTGTTAACATCAGTTAATGTATTAACTAACATAAACTAACAATGAGCAAAACATTTAATACTGTATTTATTTATCTTTGTTAATGTTACATAATTAAAATGCAGCCTGCCATTGTTTGTTCATGTAAACTCACAGTGCATTAACTAATGATAACATACTTTTGATTTTAATAATCTATAAGTAAATGTCGAAATTAACATTAACTAGGATTAAAAAATGCTGTTCGTAAAGAGTTACAGAATTTGCTTTAGGACATTCATAATCATATAATTGTATCACTCTTATCAGGTATGGCTGAAAAGCAGCATCTTTATAGACAGCGTAGACCTTGTTCCAAGTCTATGATGATGTTATATTACGTCTGTGGTGTTACTTCAAAAGTATATATCTGAACTTTCTTTCTTTCATAGCCATTTAATATAATTTAAAGTTTTGAGACCTTAAAGTGATAAAGGTACCAAATGTCAGGGTTCTGTCACTAGTTTATTTCTAGGTTATATGACAGAGCCCTGACACTCCTGTATCATCTTGTCTTTGTCTGAGCGTGTGGTTTTAAGCGTGCTCGAGGCTTGCGCTCTTGTCAGTGTGCCTTGTTTCATGTGCGGGGCGTGGTGTTTGGATTCCGGCACTTCGGTCTAGTTTGGTTTCGTGTCGGGATTCAGACATTAATGCTCCTTGTGTTCATCTTCTGTTGTGTTCACACGGGATGAGCATTTGCTCTGTCTTATTGTGTGAGCGAGTGGCTGTTTCGAGTTCACGAGTTCTGTGTAGCAAACACCAGCTGCGTGCTTTCATGTTGTCATGTTCTGTGTGAACACGCGGCTTATGAGTGTCTCTTTAGCTGTGTGTTCGTGTCTCATTCTGTTTGAGGACAAGGCTTGTGTTTTAGTCATGTTTGGTGAGAGCTTGTGATGCGTTTCCTTGTGCCATGTGCTCTCCTGTCTATTGTCTTAACTCCGCCCATCTTGTTTCCTGATTATTGGTTTTATTTGCTCCACCTGTCTTCCCTCATCACCTGCCTTGTTCGCTCCCTATCTAGGCTGCATCCGGAAACTGATAAATGCTGCCTTCGAAGGACACATCCTAAGGTCGGAAGGCATAAAGGCATGTCCGAATGCAATGTTAGTTTCACTTCCTGTCTCCTGAGACTCCTTCATCTGATCGATTTTTGAAGGCAGCATAGATGTGTACTTCGCTGTCTTTGATATCCCACAATCCTGTGCTTTTCATTCTGTTACAGTTGAGCCAAAAAAATAAAGATGGTGTCTGAAAGTTGCGGCTGGTCATCAGTTTGTGTGTAAATGTACATTTTTGATCAATGTTTTCCACTTATGATGTAATTTCTAGCGAGAAATCACTATTGTGGTCATTAAATATTCACTTAGTTTTCACCGAAGCTCGCTCTATTTGCTGTAGATCATTAAAATCATTGATAAGTCAATAAGTCATTGGCTGATAGGGCAGCGAGGCAACAAGTCAGCTGCCAAAGTTTTCGGATGCAGCCCTATTCTTCTGTGCCAGTCAAGTCAAGTCTAGGTCTTTTTTTAAAATAATTTGTAAAGCCCATTGCTTCTAGCATCTTGAATCCTAGCCTCATCCCTTCACCCAAACCTGACACCAAAGACCATTTTAAAGTTGCATTTTCCTACTCATTTTAGAAAAACAGAAATTTACTTCAAATACTGATAACACCACAGACATAAATGTTTGTGGCACCAGTATTTGATTTGAATTTCTAAAAATTAAAAAATCATTAAGCTTTCATTTTACTAGACATATCATATTAAACTAATTTTAAATACGTAGCAATGCATTTTATTATTTAAAAATAAAACATGATTTTTACAAATGTTGTGTCTTGTTTGCCACCGCAACTGAAGAATGACTCAACACAAAAAAGAAAAGCGCACCACACCCGCATTAAATCGGATTAAAAAGGAAAATGATTGATTTTCTCATGTAACACAAGCAATCAAACCAACCAACATTAGGCCTTCTGAGTTGATGCATTTAAGAAAAATAGACACGCAGCCCAACAACATGGTAATAATTAAAAGAAAACAAGCTGAGAACGTGGATCAGTCGCGTGAACAATACAAAACTTTTGCCAACACCATGTGAACGATCTGCCCATAAAGGCTATTTTGAACATATGCGCATAATTGTGGTCCTCTTAGCAGCATGAAAAATAAAACTCTTGTTCAAATTGCGAATAGATTATATACAGAAACGCTCCCTTAATGACTAAAGCTGTCAATCACTTCAGTTGCAGTGCACAAACGCTGTGCTCAACGCTGCAAACTGTGTTGTAATTAGAAACCTTTGACATTCTTTACTCTTTAAACTACAGAGCGTGATAAGCACGGGCCCGTTTGAAAGCAGCTGCCGAGCGAGACAAAATAGTCTTGGCTATTGGACCCACAGTCCACCCGTGCCTATTGATTCACATCCCGCACCGCAAATGACCACGTAAATGTTATTCCACCCGTTACATTAGCAGTTCACCCGCCCACGTGCAGGACTCTGCAGTAAACTGTAATTAGATCTAAAGTGTGTGATGGCAAATACAAATCAGATCATTTTTCACAATAGAACATCATGAGAAAATATGCAGATACTGAATGAGGGGAGATCCCATAGAGAAAGACAGTAGAAAACAACCTTTTCCCCTCCACCATCAACAACAGAAAAGTTGGAGAAGCTTTCGAACTCTGGGACAAACTAAAGGTGCCCTCGAGAGAAAGATCAGCATGAATTATGAGAGTGAAGAATGAGAGATGCGAGAGGAAGAGAGATCTGGTCCAGAGGTGACCAAGTGGGCGTCTACATGGGGGACTTACTCAGGCCTTTGGATAGCATGTCATCTGGGTTGTCCTGTGGAGCGGTCAGGAAGGGAGCAACGAGAGAGACAACAACCACAAGAGTACATGGGTTACTGAGACACTCTAAGGCCTGGTCCAGTCACTGGACACAGAAGGCACCAAGCGTTCTCTGTCCACGGGTGTTGCTGTGTCTAAAGTAGGCTGTGATGCCTGCTGTGTCCAGTGGAGCAGTGCCCACCTCTGTCCTTCACGACCTGCTGCCCTATTCTCACCCAACATTGCGCTGTAGTGCCGCTTTCTGTACTTACGGTCCACATCGTCCATTTCCGGCTCACTCGCCTCCTTGTTCTTGTAGAAGGTGAACTTGCGGGAAAAGAGGTTCTTTTTACGCTTGTCATTGAGGGACTGCTGAGGAAGAGAAGGAAGGGGAGGGCAAAAGAAAAGAAGGGAAGGGAAAGAGGGCTGTCTAATGTCCATATGGAAAAAATAAAAGATGATTGTTTTGCTCTTGGCTTTGTGGACCTCTGATGACTTGATCAAATGCCACTGGCATTGCTAGTGATTCAAGATACATTTGACGATCAATTTCTCATAGATAGGTGTTTACTCAATTAATGGAGGACGTCACAAAGTAAGAATTGTACATGAAATGCATGATGAACTGAAGTGGACAAATGAATGGATTTTGAGTCGAGGACTCAAAAAAAGCTAGAAGCAGGAAATCTCGAAGCATTCAGATTTGCATGCAGAGGGTAAAAAGCATGTGAAGGCCTATAACTGCTTTGGTTGTGGCAACATGCCACAAAACAAAGCAAGTTGGGCTGATTTATTGGTCAAAATATAGTATGAAATCCTTTGCTGTGAACAGAGCCTGTATTTAAGTAATAGTAACTACATGGCTCTGTTCTTCGGCACCGGGACTATGGGTGCGTTTATATTCTTACGCAGTGATCAGTTATAAGCCTGGTTGTTTGCACTGCAACACTGTGAGTTACTGGAGAGCATGGCATGGTAGGCAGAAGGAGAAGAGTGTGAGGATGAAGGACAGGAGAGGAGGAGGTGTGGCGTACAGAAGGACGAGCAGTCCGACATCAATGGCAAGCGTATTTGTCCTTCGTTTTCCTATCATGCATGTTTTGTCGGCTGTTAGATAATCTGGTGTTTTGACTTCTATGCCTCATAAATGAGTTATAGATGTATTACAGTATTGTTATATGTGTTATATATAACATATGGCCGTTTTTGGGCCTGCAAAACTTGCAGCTACGCATGCTGTTAATTTAGACCGGACCATTCATATGGCAGACTGATTAGTAAACGTCATCCAGAATATTACATTCCACCGAATGCACTGACTGAGCATTATTAAATGTGAGTTAATATAAAATAGTCAAACTTTCACAGAGGTAGGAACATTATCCAAGCATAATTCGTAAAGTCATTTAAAATGCATTTCAATGTCATTCTAGATACACAATATAAGCAACAAAGAAGTTTTGTTCTAATCCCTAGTGAGTTGCCTATACTTCTACAGCATTTTAGACATCATAATCCTGAGGTTGTTTCATAAGAAAGGAAACAACATCGTGTAGCTTTCTAAGATACCTTATTTTGGCCAAAATCAACATGTACACTACCAATGTAATTAATCAAGAAATGAACACCTTTAATTTAGCGAGGATGCATTAAATTAACATTTTTGTTACAAAAGATATTCTTTTCATCAAAAAATTAAGAATCATAATATATTATGCAGCAGATCTGTTCAATATTTATTGAACATCGTAAGCAGCATATCTGTTTTCTACATTGATAATAAGAAACGTTTCTCGGCATAGAATTATTTCTGAAGAATCATGTGACATTGAATACTGGAGTAATTCGTAGCTTTGTCAGTACAGGAATAAATAACATTACAAAAAAAACATTAAAATAGAAAAAAAAGTTATTTTAATTTGTAATAATATTTCACAATATTACAGTTTTTATTGCATTTTCAAGAACGACCCCAAACTTTTGAACAGTAGTGTCTGGTTTGCAGAGAATACAATCCCAGGACACACTGTGAGCTCAAAACTTTATTCAAGATTGCAGACAAGTTGTCTTTTGATGAAATGTCGATTAATAGAAAAGTATAGAAAATCCTAACACAACTTGACCCAACAACCTTGACCCAAATTTACCCAATATTTAAGTGTGCTAGGTATTTTTTTCTTTATTACATTATTGTCAAATTATCTTAGAAAATGAACAACAAAGTTTAAGTGTCAAGTCTTTTGTGTGGTTCTTTATTTATGGAAAATTATGGGAAAAGTGTTGCAAATCAGTCACGAAGTTCAAGTTCAGTAAGGATGTGGTCTTAGAAGTCAAAGCAACTCTCTAGGTTTTAGAACAGAATATTGTTCTTATCTTAGTAGGTACTGTATGCATGTATGAAATGGTTCACTCACCCCTTTTTCTCGTGACTTGGAGTTAAACTTAACTGTCTTTAACCTGGCTCTCTCCTTCTTCTCCACTCTATAGAGAAAACACAAGGATCTCAGATAACAATGGCTGTTATCCACTTTAAATCCATGTTACACTGCATTCTTCACGGCATCAAAGCGATTAACTGTTTTATCCAAATCCACACGAATAGCCCGTTCAATGTTCAGTAGCATACTGCAATGGCCAAGAATCTCTTCTGTCTCGGTGTTTCTCATGTATGTTTTCAGTCGGTGCAAGCAACAATTTCACATGATGCGGTGTTCATCAGCACAGTCAAGAATAACTTAAAGAGGTTGCCAATGTTTACTAGACTGTGGACTAGCTTTGACTCTGCCGAGTTTTTCTAGCTTGCGCCATTGAACGGGCCATTCATGTGGATTTGGATCTCGCTCAGGACGGTGTCTGTGGAGGCCTGACTAACGTCTCCAAAGAGCTGACGCCTCACATCTCATCTTCTGCATGAGTGACACTTGTCTGCTCAGTTACCATCCATAAGCAATTTCTGTTTTTGTTTTCTTAGAGAAGTAATTATCCAGCGTATTGGGACGCTTAGTCATTTTGTCCGGAGTTTACAAAGTAAACCTTAACAATCCTGTGTGTGTTTATTTATTTGTTTGTTTGTTTTTTCATTTTTTTAAGCTTCAATCTCTCACCTTCTCTTGCTGGGGATAACGCCCATTTCCTCCACCTCTCCTTGAGGAGTGACCTGCCGTGCCTGCCACCACTCATCATCTGAAGCGTTCACCACGTGCAGGATGTCCCCAAAACTGAAGTTCAGGCCCTGGCTAGGCAGCCCTGAATCCTTAGTTTTATCATAATCAAACAGTGCCCTGCAGAAAACAGTCTAAATAAGACCACAGGAAAAACACAGACTAGATACTTGATGCATTATCTGAGCTTTAAAAATTGCTGGCCCATTTAAATCAGGAGTGTCAAACTCAGCTCCTGGAGGGCCACAGTCCTACTGAGTTCACTTACAACCCTGCTTCAACACACATACCTGTAGTTTATAAATAAGCCTGAATGACTTGATTATCTGGAACAAGGGCGTTTAATTAGGGTTGAAGCTAAACTCTGCAGGGCTGTGACCCTTCAGGAGTTTGACACCCTGATTTACAATGAATGTGAGTGAACTGTAAACATTTCAAATCAATTGTGAAATTTATTAAAAACACTACATTTAGCGCCTGTTCACACCAAGGACGATAACAATAAAGATGTAGTTCTAAAAATCGTTCTAAATATAAACGAATAGTAGAGTCCACACCACAACTATAACGATAAACGATAGAGGCACAGAGGAACGATATCACTGGAATCACTTTCAGAGCGATTTTTTTCCTGCTGGTGAACGATAAAAAAAAATTGACAGCCAATCAGAATCCATCCTGCTTTAAAGAGCTTGAGCGTTTAAAGTGGCAGATGACAAAACTGCAGCATGTGCTTAGAATAAACAGAACATTATTGTCCGTTGGTGTGGACCCTGATATAGTTGTCATTACAGCTATCGTTCTTAGTGTAAACGGGCCTTTAAAGTTGGTATGAAACAGAAATTGCGGCCTTTTTTCCCCTTAGCTTCAGTGGCGAATATCTGAGTGAAACGGCTTCTTGAATGAGAAAACATTTAGGGCGGCACTTGATATCCATCAGGAATTGATTGTACCGTTGGATCGCTGTTGTTAGCTAATTGCTGCGATCTCATGTAAGTGACAGGTTGCTAGAGGAGATGTTTTATTGCCCTAGTGCAGTGCTCAAGTCATCAGAGAAGAGATGTCATTGCGAGATAATGATGATAATAATGTTGTGCACGAATAAATTATTTATAATAACTGCAATATTCCCCCCAAAAATAAGAATTGTCAATTTTAATTTCATGGTGACTTTACATGCTGGTGACCAGTCCCTTGTAACATATTGATGGGTATTTGTCCAGTACCTGACGTATAGTGATCTCTTCTGATTGGTCCTCAGGGATCCTGAGCCTGAACTGATGCTACTGTTCATCATCTGCTCTCTTAGGTCATGGATCTTGGCTTCAAATCGGCTGTACTCTAAAAACACAAGGCCACAAAACGTCAATACTGCCCATCTCCCAGAATGCTGCTGTTGAATGCAGTCATGAGACATTAGTGTGTATAATAGATAATAGACTTCACAGAAGAATATTTGTGTATAAAAAATTGTTTTCAACAAAACACATGATCAGATTTATACCAATATACACAGGTGGTGTTTTCATGATACCATTTTATGGCGAATACATTTATTTAACATATCTAATCTAATCAAATCTCCAAAGAACATGGGATTTCTGGCTTTATGGGTTTTTAAAAAGGGACACTAGTCAGTTAAAAGCACATCTTCTCCAAAATTGTTTATCAAGGGGAATGCAGGAAAGAGCATTACAAATTTACTGGCATTGTTAACAGTATAATAATGGTCTGTAGGACGAGTTGTACGTACAGTCAGCTTTGGATGATTCAATATCCAAATCTAATTTTTACGAGTTCTACTTCAGACCCTGACCTGACTTAATGACTCAAATGAGTCAATCAATGGCTATAAAACTGGAGTATTGGTTTATTGGCTTTTTACTCCTCGCAACAACACAGCTAAGAGACTCCTGCTGATCGGTGATTGATTTCTGGTTTGTTTTTAATGGGTGATCAAAATGATGATTGACATGGCACTATCTTACATTGAGAAGGACTCACCCTCTGGTCTATACTGGGCAACGATGGTAACGGTTTGTCCGGCGTTCTTCAGGGTTGCTGCAGCCTGTTCATGAGTGGCACTGCGTAGGTCTATTCCATTCACCTAAGAAAGGGACAGTCGTTTTTACATCTATAGGGCAAGCAGTATGACAGTGGTCTATATCTATTATCTATAATAACTATTATCTATTCTATTCAGCTCAGTATGTCCGCTGAATACTGTAAGAAATACAGTGGCCACTGAAATACTCACAGACACCAGACGGTCTCCTTTCTTCAGCTCTCCACACAGGTCTGCAGGGCCTCCAGCCAGGATGAAGGAAATAAATATGCCCTCTCCATCCTCTCCACCCACTATGTTGAAGCCAAGCCCTGTAGAGCCTCGATGCAGCACCACCTTTCTGGGTTCCCTGCATGACCAAAAAAACCAACACAACATATGACCTTATAGACTGACATAAATACTAAACTTACAGACTCGTATAGCATTGTACACAAACTGTTCATTGAGTCCGAAACAAACAGCTGGCAAAAAAACCTTCTATTTTCCTGAATCAAAAAAAAATGACGTGCTGTGTTCTTTGTATTGTACGTGTCATTATTAACAATATTGTGAAATTTTACTACAATTGAAAATAACGGATTTCTATTTTAATATATTTTGAAATGTAATTTATTTCTGTGATGGCAAAGCTGGTCTCCAGTGTCACATGTTACTACAGAAATCCTTCTAATATGCTGATTTGTGTTTCCGTTCTGACTTTGAAACAGACGGCCACAAACGTCAATATTGGCCATCTCCCAGAATGCTGCTGTGGAATGCGTTACCTATAATACATTTATTTAATATATCAAATAGTTCTATCTCCAAAGAACATGGGATTAATCTCCAAAGAACATGGGATTTCTGCCTTTGTTTTTTTTATGTAATGGGTATAAAACTGTAAACTATAGTCTTCTTTTTCTCTTTTCAAAGAGTTTACAGGATCTTTAGATAGCGTACAAATGCAAGTGGTGTAAAAAATGTAACAATCAGAATCAGTACATTCAAAGTCCCTATAAATGCAATGAATCCGCAAGATCTACTATACGTGAGTCTGTTGCAGTTAAAAGCACATCTTATCAAAAATTGTTTGTCAAGGGGAATGCAGGAATCTTGTAATTTTTGGATGATGCATGCAAGAATCTCAGAAAAAGATGTGATATAACTATCAACAAAGCACCTTTTATATGGAGCAAACAACATACTATAATAATATACAAGCATCATATTTCTGCTTTTAAGTGAATATAATTGCCTTGAATATATTGCTCCTGTATGTCAATAGTGGAGTGTCAAACTTTCACAAACTGAAAGGCAAAACGTTGCTTTAAGAGTGCAGGATCAGTGTATATAACTGTCCTCTTGGAGGCACTGCTGGTCTACTCTACTGCACACAGCCTTGTCCTACTACACCATCAAAAACATCCCTGTGGCTATCTTACAATACTGATACTGTAGTCAAACACCATTTGATCACATCAGCTTTTGCCTATTAAATAGAACATTACTCTAAAAAACAACACTGAACACAATGACATCTAGAATGCTCTTTTTAGGCTACTTTGTACTGTATGGTTGATTATTGTGCTAAAATTCAAATCCCCCCCGTGCACCTAAATGGTCAGATTAATAGAATCGTTTGTTCTGTTGGATTACGACAATCTTGTTTATTCATTTTCTGGCAAGCTGGTTAAGAGGCTTGATGATGCGCGGCGGTTTTTATGAAAATGAACCAACACGTGACGTGGATGGGCTAAATTTGGAGCTTATTAAATCGCTAAATCGGCACAGACGTGTCATTTCAGGTCGGATTTCTCTAAAGGTCTGCTGTTGCATCTGGATGAATGTTTTAACCACACTCTTTTTGCATCCAGTTTGATTTTTGATTGTGTCCTCTTAAAGTGGGGGAATTCTAATATCAAAATGTGTTTAACCCTGTAAAATCAATACATATGTTTATCAGACATAGAGGGAGGTGCTGAAAGGGGAACTGCTATCTGCCCTCACATTTGACAACTCCCTCAGTGAAGCACTGCAGCTTGGGTCAGGTGACCTGAGCAAAAGTAAATAGCAATTCGATATGCCAGTGAACTCTTATCAAAGTTCATAGAGCTTCATGACATCATCCTGAACATCACAGGTGAGCATCAGAGCACTGACCTGCTCAGGCAACACTTTATACTAATAATCATAAACAGCTTGAAGCTTCCCATTTGTTGAACTCACAAACAATGAGCTTATAAGAACAGGATTAATCTGGTATTCAACTGGTGATGGCGCCATCGGTGTGGTCTGATAAATTAATATGAGCTGGCCCTTTTAAAGCTGCTGTAGGTAACTTTTGTAAAAAATATTTTTTACATATTTCTTAAAACTGTCATTATGTCCTGACAGTAGAATATGAGACAGATAATCTGTGAAAAAAATCAAGCTCTTCTGGCTCCTCCCAGTGGTCCTATAGCCATTTGCAGAAATACTCGCTCCTGGTCAGAAACAACCAATCAGAGCCAGGAGGAATGTCTTAGCAGTGTCAATCACGCTCGTGTACGCGCTGATCACAGCCCTCTCTTGCACAGCACGAGCCGTCGTTCAAACTCAAGATTGCCGGCGTGCTGCAGCTGCGCTTATGACGGAGAAACAACCTAAACTGCCAATTCTCGAGTGACACCTGCTCATAAAACAAAGAGGTAAAAGGAAAAAGACCGATGACGATAAACAAGCGAAAAAGAAAGGATTAAACAGAGCCCATTGATTCGGTGTCAAAACTCTAGCCGCATAACATGTAGATACAATGTCACGCACTCTGCTAAGCAACAATTGAAACCTGCTAATTCACTGGCTTGTCATGTTGCTGAAATAATGTACTAGCACAGCTTATCTAGCATTATATATCGCTAGAATAATTACTTACATACTGTAACGTTAGTTACCGTTATATAACGTTATCTTACTAGCTATTTATAACTTATAGAAAGAGTGCAATGTTATAAAGTTACATGTAGGCTATTGCAAAATACATAATGATTTGAGGACCAAGTTTGTAGTCAAAGTATGGGCAGGCCATAGTCAATGTAAAGCATATTGTTGACGTTTAGTCCCTATTAGTGAATGTGCCATATAACTTTTTATCCGCTGTTATCGGTGGCCCTGTTTACTAGCCTGCGCGTTCACGACAGGCTCCGCTGTGGAGGACGAGCTGTAGCGCAGCAGAGAGCAAGGGGGTGGGATCTGTAAGTTGTGCTTGTTCAAATTTTCAGGCTAAGTCAACGTTTTCTCAAAACTCTCTACTGCAGCTTTAATGAATCACTGAAAAAGACTCAAAAACTACTCTTTCATTAAGTATTTATGAGTATATCATTTTAAAATAACTTACCACATTGTTATATTGTTAAGTTGTTATAACTTAACACATTGCCTAAACAATCTGTTACGGTAATTTCTATTATCACTGTAAAGCTGCTTTGAAACAATCCATACGGTTAAAAGCGCTTTATAAATGAAGGTGACTTGACTTATGTTTTTGTTTGTGTTGATTATTATCTGTTAAATAGGGTATTTTATTGTTGCTCATTTGAAAAGTTTTACCAAGGTACCTTTATAATTTAAAGCATTAGATGACAGGAAATGTCTCTTACATGTAAGCAAAATCGGAATTGAATGAGCAAATATGTATTGATACCCAGCCCTAGCAAGGACTATGATTAGTTTTGTGTAATAAAACGTTTATTTAAACTTTAATGTGTAAAACATTGGTCTATACAGACAGACGGTGTTGCATCGTGTCTCATTGTTGCATTGTGGCAAAATAGTCTGTGCATGAGCATCATAGTAGGTTTACGTAGCCAATTTTGAGGCAATACCTGGAAACATCATCTTCCCCCGCTGTGGTCTTTAGGGTCGGGGAGTAGCGTCCTGAATGCACTGGGGGCATCGGCTGGCTCATATAGCTTGGAGGGCTGATATGGTTTTCCATGTGTTGGGAATAGGCTGGGAAAGAGAAAAACAAGTTCATCACGTCACCGAAACAAGTCTATAACGTCTTGATCTGCATTCCCCAAGAAGCTTGCACCAATCATTTCCAGGATCTCAAAGAACTTTACATAATCCTCCAAAATTGCACAACTATGCTCTTCCGTAGTTTGCATACCTTAGCTAAACAGACACACGTTGACAGTAAATGATACCTTGGCCTGAGCTTTTAACACCTGGGCCTCCACTGCGGCTCCGCTTACATAGCTATCCATGTGGGTGAAAAAGACCTGGAGGTCAGGGTGAAACTGAGCCTAAACTATCCTTATCTTACCTGTCTTTGTCTCTCTGTAAATGTCTCATTTGAAGCAGACAGTTAGCTGAGCTCATGACAAAAGGCTGCCTGGGTATCGGTGCATCCTCATATGAGCTCTGTTGATTGGAAATAAGTGTGATCCGTACTTGCATAATGACAGAATGATGGGATGAGGGAAGGAAATAGATATAATAGATGATACATCAACCAAGACGAGTAAATGAATCATTTTCCCAACATCGCTACTAATGTCTGTTTGTCGATATTTGCCCTCAACAGTTACAGTGGTAATGTCACTAGTGTGGAATGCATGCTTGAACATGATAAACGTTGTAGTGGTGAAAGGCAGGGTAACAAAGCTCCCATCTTTGACCATCAAAGCTCCCGTGAAAGATTGCTCTCTCCCGTGATGAGATGTGACACCACTTTAGTGGGATGAGACCAGATATGTGCTCTCAGAGTCCAAGATTCAAGACCACAATGTATTTAGAAAGAAAGGGACAATTTTTCACTTGGATATAATATAATATACAATTGCTGAAATAGAATGTACGTAAAATTCCCTGAATTATCTGGTTATCCATTGGCAGAGATCTAGGTAAATTCCCATGCTGAAAGCAAATATCTTTCTCCTAATGTATTGATGAGTGATATTGATATGTGATATTTGATGAGCGATACAGAACTAAATTGAGCTGCATAATGACACTATTGTCTTCTGTTCTGCTTTACATCTGAACTCGAATTTGTCGCATAATTGATGAATTTCACAATTACGCTGTTATTTTCCTGCTTATTAATGTGAAGCTGAAGCTTTCAAACAATCTGTATTGTATAAAGAGCTATATAAATAAAAAATGTGAGATAGTCTTAAAAATTAAATGCAATTCCAATTTGGTTCTCCAAACCCATGTTAAGGCAGTTTATTCATCTATGTATCTATCCAGGTCTTATTCTACTGTTTGTCCTGTGATATGAGCTCTCTGCTGGTTGTGAGATGTATATTTGGGCCCAGTTGGCGGGGAGCAGCAGTGGCAGTAGCTTTTTCTTCTACAGTACTGCACTATGGCATATAATAGAACGAGAGGTTTAGCTGCAGAAACCTCGCTTTACCCTCAGGCGGAGCAGAGCAGAACAGAGTGGCACGATTAAAAAAAAAAAGCCCAACAGATGGTAAAATGCATGCTTTATGGCTCTCCATGGGGACAAAAATATAATCTACTAATACGAAGGCTCCCCCTCTGCAACACACTAACCAAATAAAGCAGATCAGTGTGCCCAAAAACCACACTCAAAAAAGAAAAGCGCTTGCACACCATCTACAAGCTATAAACAGCGTTATTACCATTCTGAGTCAGGCTGCTGAATGATTGTGCACACTCAATAGAATTATTTCTCATTCATTAACTCAGACTCAGATTGGCTCTCTGAGGCCAGTGTGCCATCGTTCCACATGCTGCCCTCAATGCATTAGGATATTGCTGCTTGGATTAGCAATACAGACTTGACCATGTGATCCCAGCCATGATTGAATTTGCTATTTGTCTTTCAAACCAAGCAGAGCAAAGCATCCTTGTCTGCTGGCTCCACTATTATGTATGGATGGGTCTCAGAGATGGAGTGAGTCTTTCTGTAGCTACATCAACCCTAGCTATCTTCCACAACCTAATGAGCTGCCTGCTTATCTACCGGTTAAGAAACTGACTGATTTGTAATGTGCTACATAGGCAGAAACTCTTTTTAACACTTTTCAGCACTGAATGAATGCTAGGGTTGCCTCTTCAAAGGATGCAGGCAATATTGTTGTGATGCAATGGTAGTAGAATAAATAGACAACAATAGACAGTGGGGATGTGGTTCTAACGGATGGTTGTTGCTTGGATGGAGGCAAATCTGAATGTAAGCTTCCAGTCAAGCAATTCTACCTGTGTAAGAAAGGGGCAGGGTTTAAGTGGACTAAATTATCAGAGAAATCCAGTATACATCACCAGAGAAAAGTCTGTAGTTTCACTGGGAGATTAAGTTGAATTGACATTGTGATTTAAAAGGACAAGGATTATTAAAAGGATTGCCATCAACAATCAACCATTTATTCTTCCATGTGTTATGAAGGCACCAATATTAATATACCTCGGCTGCAGTATTCTGCATGTGATCCTTCTAATTAGGGTCAGGGACCTTTTCTCTTCTAGTGGTTTTGAACTGATTTCTAGACTTCATCTCTAATAGGTCGCAAATTGTGACCGATATGGGGGTGGTTTTGTCTAATTGTCCTTTACACAAGGGGGATCAGTGCAAATGAGCAGAGTTGTGCAAGCTTTGACTTTGAGAAAGTAGTCATCCTTCATCGTATTAGGGTACATGGCAAGCATGCTTTTTAAGGATTAAAAACGAGTGTGTCTAAAGAGAGTTGTGCGGGGCACATCAGAAGAGGTAGAGAGATCAAGGGCTTTTTATGACGAAAGCGTGTCTGATTTGATGGTGTGATGTTGTGTCTGTATGAGTCTGGGGTCTACAGCCGTTGGAGGGCTTAGCAGTGGAGAATAAGGGTGGTTGATTATGTAAATGCACTGTGGGCACCCATGCTGTGGGTACAATAACTTTGAGGTAACTTTCATTCAACAGACTTTAGCTTACTGGAAAGTTATTCTGTCCATCTTCAAAAGTCAAGATATTGTAGGTCAAAATCTGTAGCTGTGGTGCTTTGAAGCTACAGCACAAAGCTAAAGTTTCAGATGACTTGCGTCAGGCTCGCATCTCTCAAAACAAGCAGCCTGTGGTGCTTTGACATCCACATGAACAGCACTGCAGATGAGGATTTTTAACACAAGTGGCATTCTCATGCTCCGTCAGCGCAGTTGTTTCATTGTCACGTCTATGAATACATGCGTCAGATGGACATCTTTGACCTGCCACCTCTCGCCAGAGACATTAAGATAAAAATATTTGGAGTAAGAATAAGCATCTTGAGCATTGAGTTTATGTTTGCAACAGATGTGTCAAATAACTTTATGTATCTAGATACACAGAGGCTACAGACATGCATGCTGATGCATCAATCGTTGTCTCAGCTTTGAAAGGCCAACAGCAAATGGTGTCAAAGTTGAAACTGCTTAACAATGCTTGACCCATTTACAATGCAGTGCCGAAGGTAATACTATAGCTTGACGTATTGCACCGGGGAACACCGACATGTATCATATTTTAAAGGCCTTAAGGACATGTTCATCTGTGTTCACCCGGGTTTTCCATCAAAAGAGACAAATCATGTTGACTGTAGGGATGGGTCACAACGATCAACAAGCCAATTAAGGCTGGAATACACGAAATAACTTTTTCCAGATTTTCAGTTTGGACATGTTCTCATTAGTTGCTAAAAGTCTAGAGATTTTCAGCAATCGGATCTGACTGACAAAACTGCATATTGTATGATGGGAACAGACTCTAATTTTCAGCTTTAGACTATAATTCTATCCTGTTGAATATATTGAGTTGATTTCAGAACACAAATTGTTTTCATTTTCATTTAGCATTTAGGTGCTCGTTTCTGTGTGAGTTTGTTGTTGTCAACCTTCGGAACAACTTGTTTCCTCTGTTACCATTTACAAAGTCAGCGAGTGTGTGATGGCTGGGGTTTTAAAAACTGTTCAGATTTTAAAAGTTGTGTAGTGTATTCCAGTCTTCAGTTGTCCAACAACAGACTAGTTGATAAGTGAGATGGACAAGTTCACTTGGATTTCTTTTTTTAGTTTTAATATTTTTGGCTATGGTGCTTTATTTAGCATGTTGATGATAGCGTATTGTTCTCTAGTTGTTAGACATGTTCAAAATAGTCAGTAGGGCTGTCAAAATGGCTGAAAAACTAAATTCGAATTTTATTCTTAAATATTACTAATATTCGAATTATATTCAAATTTAAAAGACATAATTTCAGTTAGGGGGAAAAAGCTTTTGACTTGTCTCCTCTCTCCTGAGGCAGAGGTTTACACATAACATTGCATAACATTTAAACTAACATTTATAAATCAAATATAATTTCGTGAATTGCATAAACAATTATGAATAAAACAGCATCATGTACGCCTATTTATTCATAGTTTAATACAAAGAGCAGAACTGACGATCACACAGTTTTTTGGGGGTTTTTTTGCGTTTAAAAAACTCAAGTCTTGAGACGTTTTTTTTAAAAGTTGAACTTCTTTTAACTTTACATGGCTTTCTAAACATGCGGCTCTCTGTTGCAAGACGAGAGTGCAATAGTTAAATATGTCAGTCTAGCGCTTGTTTACACAGAAAACTGGAAAAGCAGTGCAGAAAATGCGTTCTGTGTGAATGGCTTGGTTGTGGTTTTGAAGTAACCAAGATTCTCTATTTCTGGAATATTTTTAATGAACAAAACAGCAGCTCCGCATCAAGTGGGTTAAAGTGAATAGGCTAAAACAATAAAATGCATTTAAAACTCTTGACGAATATTCGAAAGTCGAATCATAATTTAACAGTCCTAGTAGTCAGACAAAAAAGCATCTCAAAAGGTTGCTTCCCGTTTAGCTCAATGGTTCTCAAACTTTTTGACTCGTTGTCCAACACAATATTCGAAGACTCCATATACGGCAAGATATTTCCAGTATTTCTGTTGAAATTATGACAAAGCTGCTTGTTTTCAAACTTAATTAACATGGCTTATTTTAAAGTGCTTAAAACAATTAACCAAGATTAATTTTCAAGTTATGTAACTGTGTTCTTCAATTAAAAACAATGGAAAAATAATAAAAATAATGGAAAATTTGTATACCCCTTATATAATTCTAAGTGTTTTTAGTGAGTTATTATAGATTACAGATTATTTTAATATAGTAAATGTAATTTTCTTAAGTTAAATACTTTCAAGTCATCCAACCCCTTGGAAATTTGATTGAGAACCACTGGTTTAGCTGTTTGTAAGAATAAATCCTGTGTAAATGCCCCCAGAAAAAAATAGAAAATACATCCAAATGGGGTCAGGTGAACCTGAAATTAGCCTAAATAGTGCTTCCTTAAGATCAATTGGTTTAATAGTCATTCAGGCAACCAACCAACTAGTCTATTTTGAACGTGTGTTTTGCACATCCCTAGTTGATTGACACATAAAGATGATATTGTCAGGGAGATCCCAGCCCTCAGCATTACTCTGAGTCATTAGTCTCATGTTTAAGGGCAGGAAGACACACGGAGGGGCGTTTGTGCAGCGGTGACTTCGCCTCCTCTGCACTTAAGCACAACGTAGGCTTTAATGGCTGCGGGGGTGGCACGTTCAGTCAAGAGCAATCGATAGTAGTTTAGTCCTCCCCTCTGTGGCCTATTAGTGCTCCTGCTGGCAGGGCTATGAACAGAGCACAGATCAATACACTCACTGCCGGGCATGGGCCTCACACACGGCAACAATCTGGTCTGCACAAGTACTACACTTTATCCCACTCCCACCATCACCACATTTCACCGCTTTTACAAATGTTTCCATCGAGGCTTATGTGCAGTGGGACTGAGAGATGTTTTGAGGGAGCTTTCAATGGTATTAATGCATAACATAACCTACCTCATTCTTCATATACAGCATGTGTGCTATTAGTAGATACTGTAGACTTTGCGACACATTGTGCTTTAAATATCCGCCTACCTGACAACTCCTTCACTGTATTTAATAGTATAAGAATATAATATGTGACTTTTCTGATGTTAGTCGTGTCATTTTAAAGAGGAACTCACAATTGGTGATGTCAGGAGGAGCAAAACTGTCATTCATGAAGACACTATTGGGTTTAGCCACTTTCAAGTAGACCACGTCTGGGGTATTTTTCAAGGCAGTCACGGCATGCTCATGGGTAACCTCTTCCAGACAGGAGCTATTCACCTAAGACCACCAAAACACACACAAACACAGACTTTAGTCTGTTTAACAAGCGCATGGTCAGCAATAAGCAGTCACAGTGTCCTTTTTTCTTACAGCAAGAAGTTTGTCTCCTATCTGCAACCTCCCGTCTTTGTGTGCGGCTCCACCTTCGATGATCTTAGTGACGTAGATGCTGTTGTCCCCTGGGATGTGCTGATTCCCAACACCCCCTGCTATACTGAAACCAAGACCTGGAATAAACAAAGATACAGACGAAAATCAAAAGGTTAATTGATGGCGACAACAACATTTATATTTAGCTCTAATACATTTGGCACTATACCTAAAACATGCAAAAATCAACCAGACAACATGAGAAAAAGCTATTATTAGTAGCTAAATAATCAACAATATCTGTCATAATGAACATTCACTCACACACCATAAAAATGCTATACTGTAATCTTTAAATTTAAATACAAAAAATTAATTGTTGCATAAATTATACAACAAACTGTCTATAAAACCATGGGAGGGGAATGTTTCCATGGCAACAGCAGCTTAAAGTCTTTGCAGTGTTGTGGAAACTTTATGGCTGGCCTTAAAATAGCCCCATTGCGTATTGTGTGTGTGTGTGTGTGTATATATAATTTCCCAAGAGGGGACAATGTCTATGGTCTCTAGTTAAAGCTTGAACAATAGTACACTCTTAACTCAGTCTGATCTGAAGAAATGATTTAACAGCACTCTTGCTTCCTCAGTGTAATGCCGGGAAGGATTAGAGGTTTTGATTAAGGAGGAATAAATACCTAGAAAATGCCACATTTGGTTGGCTGAAACTAAAACTGAGTCCTTATACGCTATTTATACTTTTTAAAAGAGCAAGAGCCACAATTATAACTTTATACAGTTGTAATCAAAATTATTCAACCCCCATTGCAAATCAGGTTTATTGGGAAAATGTACAGACATAACAGCAAAAGGTTGTTCAACTAAGTACTAAAGATGCTTGCCATGAAAGGGTCGAATCATTTTGAAACTGCAGAAGTCATTAAAAGTTGCATTTTCAGTTGAATTTGGGGAAACCACTTGAAACATTTGTTGTGTTGAACTATTTCAATTACTTTTGTTTTAGTTGTTCTTTGCAAACAGCTGAAAGTCTGTACATTTTGCCAATAAACCTGATTTGCAATGCGGGTTGAAATATTCTGATTACAACTGTACATAACAATTTCGAACATTAGAGACTAGTCAAGTCTATTGTGAAGTTAAGACTTGCAACATGAATCACATTAATTCTGATCAAAAATTTCATCATCAACAACAACAACAACAACAACAGTATAATTACAGGTTTTTCATGCTATTCCTAACCCTGGGTTAGCATAGTTTTAACCCTGGGATAAAGTTGCTTTTAACCCTGGGTTAAGCAATATTTCCCACATTTATACACTTTGAAATAGTATAGAGTGTAGTAGAATGAAATAAACATTTCTGCACCTGAAAAATGAGTTTTTGGCAACATATCTTTTTCTAAAAAATTAAATTAAATTAAATAAAAAGCTATCACTGCTGAAAGTAAACATCAAGCAGTGATGGAAACCATGCTAACTAAATAGATGAAGAGATTCAGACACAAAGATGTTGCGAGCTCCACATGTTGTACTTGTCTAATCAATGTTACTAACCAAATTCACAAATAAGCACGGGCCTATCGTTTACCAGTGTGAAACACAGAATCTCAAAAACTGACTACCCAAGAATACTAAATTAAAACTGATCTAACGTTTAGAATTGGTAAGACCATTAATATCCCAGTTACACTGTTAAAAGTCTAAAATAAGATGTTACGATCAATAGCAGTAATGAGGAGTTGGTTGGTTTTACTGTACCTTTGGGTCCTTTTATGAGCTTGATCTCCATGACTTTCTCCGATGCAGACTTTCTCCTCCTGACATACAGTCTGACCAGTGACCCTGCCTCCTTCAATGCTTCCACAGCCTTACTGTGGGTCACGTCCCTGACATCAGCCTCGTTCACTCGCAGAATCACATCGTTAACCCTGTGTGGAATAAAGCACAGGTGTTTGACACACATGCACAAGAAACACTGAGGTGTGTGGTCATCACCATCCCATTTAACTACTCACATTGTTCAACCAAAAAGAATCATCAAGTGTCCTGATACATTTTTGTTACTCTGTTGACAAAAAGTTACCTTCTGTGTTGTTTCTCAAGTACAGCTAACAGTACCAAGACATCACAAAGAAAAACTGACCATCAACAGCAAACTCTAGAGTTGAAGTTTGTCTTTCTTCTATCATTTCAAACCAATCGTTTTGCTTCAGAAGACATTGATTCATCAACAGGGGTCATGTGTGTTAATTTTGTGTGGTTTCTGAGGCGTCAACTTTTGGGTTACAATCCCATTGCATTAAATGGACTCACAGATTCGGATTATTTTTCTGAAAATCTCTGTGTTCCACTGAAGAAAGAAAGTCATATACATTTGGCATGGCATGAGGGTGAGTAAATTATGAGAGAATTTTTATTTTTGGGTGGAGTTTCCTTTAATATGCAAAGGCAGCTATACATAAAGCCATTCATAAACTGATTTCCCAGACATGTATAAACATTGTCGCTTTGTGACTCTATCAAGATGCTGTTTGAGCATCCAGACAAGCCAGACACAGTAACACTTAGCAACCAATAGTTGAGTGGGGCTCTCTTAGAGTAAACAACAGTCATTGTTTAGTGCCGCTAGTGGAGCAGAAAGTACTTAATCTTGTACTCTGTTGTTATGCTAGATTTATGTTTTACACTGATTTATTTGGACATTACATCTTGATGAGGTTTTGTCAAGCTGTTACTGAATACGAAGTCTCCTGGTGACGTACAATTTTCTTTATTTTGAATGTTGCCTGCTCTGTCATTGCCTGATAACATAAATGCAGAACTTCACCACAGCATCTTCACACAAGAATAGAGAATACAAACTTTGAGCATTAACCAAGACTACAATTCAATTCTCAGTGACAGCTCTAACTGGGCATGAAAAATTACAAGCTATAAAAGTCCATCGAAACAAACTGAAGTTATACAATACATTACAGTCTTTAAGAATATCAAAGTATCTCTTATGACATTTATTAATTAACGCTCTCTTTCACACAATTCAATTTACAAAAAAAGCAGTCAGTGGCAGGGCTGGCTCTTTAAACTCTCTCTCTCTCTCTCTCTCTCTCTCTCTCTCTCTCTCTCTCTCTCTCTCTCTCTGTGTGTGTGTGTGTGTGTGTGTGTTGAGCTGTCAGTGTGATGCTGTCAGGACCTCAGTAGCGCTGCATTAATGAGCCTCTGACAGCAGTGAGACACTGGAGGGCTCTATCACTTAGTAACCACTTCAAAACAGGAAAAATCCATCCCCAAACAAAACATGTAAGAGGAGGAAATCTATTACAATGCTCAATGGTCAATACAATACTATCTTATATCGAAAATTCGAAATACATATCGAATTGATTTTAAAGTCCTCATGAAATCAAAATTGACCCTATTTAGTTTGTTAGCACACATTACTAGTCTTGTGGTGAACAATTAATCCGTTAATACACAGAAAAAAATGTGTTTGTTGTGATAATCTTTTTTTAATTTGCTTCTGCTCTGGAATGGCGTTCCTTCCCTGATAGTTAAATTTTAACTATTTTAACTACTTTTAGCACTTAAGACACGATGTTTAAAAAACTGCTGCGTCATTGACCACATGGTATTTCAATGTAATGTTTTGTTTAACTGTTTAAAGAATGAAAAGCAACAGGAATAAACCAGGAAACATGTGAGAACCATAGCTTTTGAGAACCGTAGCCTTACCGCAATCTCCCGTCCTGAGCGGCGGCGCCCCCTGGGATGACTTTGGTGATGAAAATGCTGGGGTCTTCACCAATGTGAGGGTTATCCGTGCCACCGGCAATACTGAAGCCCAGGCCTGAATTCCCCTACACAGCAGAGGAGAGGAAACCTTAAGTTAGATTCTGGAGGAACATCAATTAAAACATCAATCTTTGCTTTGGTCAGCGACTATGGGAACATAATGTCGGCTAAAATCAACTGGCAATGTGATATGCAAAATGCGTTTTAAATGACATTTTAAAGCAAATTACAACGTTTAGGCCAAAATGGAAATTCAAAAATATGAATGCAATGCATTGGAAAATGTGTCATATTTCATTTATTTAGGTTATTATCTTTTATTCTATAATTTGATCAAAGCAATAAAGGAACCAATGGACCATATTTTTGGGATAATTTTAGTAAACACTGGTTTAAAACTACCCACACACTGGACTTCCATAGACTTCCAAAGCGCTGTACAAATATGTGAATTGAATTGAACTTCCATTAGACTTTAGACCAATAGACCAAAAATGTTCTTCGGTGGTGGCTGACGAACAGGTCTATCCACACACACACACAATTATATATGATACACACTGCATAAGTGAAGAAATAATTCTTTATTTAATCGACACTAAATGTGTATTAACAGGGTTTGCTTAAAACCTTCGCTTGAAGACGCTGACGCACATAAGCGATTGACGTTATTACCATGTTGTGCAATGCATTTTCAATTAATTAAATTTTGCTACATTCATTGTGCGGTATTAACAAAAATGCAATTTCAAATGTGTTAATTGTGAGTGTAAATGCATTTCAGGAAAATGATAAATAAAAGATTGTTTTGCTACCCTTAATTCATTAACAAATTGAAAATATCAGTCTATTTCGGCTAGAATGTTAAAATCTTCCCTATATGTTTTGTTGTTGACATCAAAGGCCACATTTCTAATAAAACTCTATGGTATGGATTGTACCGTTTAAAGTGCCTGAGTTCAGTGCATAACTTTCACAACTTGCATTTTACTTTTATATTAAAATATTTCATTGAAATCCCACATCTATAATTTAATTTATTTAGTCATGGTGCTTTAACATTGTGGAGAAAGTTGCAGTTTTTTAATGTTTATATTTTAAACATTTTTGCACATGTATAGCACAGCTACATTCATACATTTGGAACGGTTTTATGGCCTTTATTTGCACACTGCTTGCAGGAGAACAGTGAGATAGATTTGCATTTTAAGAAAAGATTTGTATCCAATAAATCTAAGAAATATTTAAATAATTGTTAGCAGTCCTAAAAATAAATGCCACTATAAAAAAGGCTACAGCTTGCTCTGCTGTGAACTAGCTTCACATTGATATGTATTGTATTTGTATTGGTTTTATTGATTTTTTGTTGCAGCCGTGGACAGAGAAATAGCTCTTACCACTGTTAAAGTCAACCCACAGTCAATAGCAATGACCAGAATTTGTTATAGTACTTAATAGGGCTGTAACGATACACAATATAAAATCGAAATCGCGATACTCAGGTCCACGATCCTGTATCGCGATGTGAGAAGGCAGAATCGCGATCACAACCCTTCCAACTCCCAGAGTTATCCTTCCTGTCCAAAACCAATGCTACCACATCTTTAAATTACTATTAGTATTATTTGAAGTTAACATTATAAAATACGTAGACCTACACCACAAAACTAGTTGAGGATAAATTATTTCAAATTTGGCAATTTCAGCGTTATGGACGTGAAATTTGCAGCCAAAACTTGAAATATAAATTCTCAGAAAGTGCATTTAATACCAATATATTGACACTTCTGTTTATATATCCATAGCCTACTCCCTTAATAAAGTCCAGTACATGTCCAGACATTAGAAAAATATAAGTCTACACACACACGCATTTTATATTTAATATGAGGGAAATACACACGCGTACACGGATGCGACACAAAACATCTTTAATTTTTAGGTGGCAAAAAAATATATTTTTTATAATTCTGTAAATTACACTGTACAAACCAAAAGTAATAGGCTACTAGGCTACCCATCGGATGAAGGAGGGTTGGCTCTCCCCAGAACATAAAATATTCATTTTGTTTTATTTTTCGTGTTCGCATTTAAGAGGAAAAAACAATGTCGTGACAGTTCTCTGGAAGCGGCACTAAAACTTTCAAAGACCTCAAACAGAAAAGCACAAAGACTTTCTTTAAATTGAATTTCGTTTTGTATTAATTGTATCTCAATTTTAATAAATGTTTCATCAACCAATTAAATAAGTAGTAAATATAGCAGACAGATAATCACGACACAGAGGGGCCGGCGCGTGAACTGGAGCTCGTCTCATATGAATCGAAACCCAATGTATAAGCCTATAGACCTGAGAAATATATCTACCGGTATATTGAAATGTCTACTTTTAAACCGAACAATTCAAAACGAAAGAAAACAGACTGCTCTCTGCTTATGTAATCCGTATGAAAAGTGCATTTCTCTCTGGCGCGTTCACTACTGCGAAGATCGCGAGTCAGCATCGCAACTTCGTCTTTGCAGCTGACACTGACAGAAAACACTAATTAAATGTCTCCTTGCTATATTTGACATATTCATAATCATTACTTTTGCCGGTTCTTTGTGTAAGCTTATAGGTGCTTTATTGGCAGTGCCAGCCTTACGTTACATGAACGCGTCACCACCGCATCAGCACCGAAAACTGGAGATTTTTTTAGACAATAATCGCACAACCTATTTGATGTTCTATAATTAAATACTCAGTGACTCATCCCAACCAACTATTTAAAAAAAAATTAACTTGTAAGCGTCTTTTTACATGCTACATATCATACGAGTCGTGACTACCTTTCCATGTGACGCGAGCTATTTGAAGAACGTGAAGAAACATGGAAATCAACCCAGAGATTGCGGAACCTCCCAATACATTTCAGTCAGCAGTATGTCAACATTTCGGCTACACGGTGGAGAACAGGGATGGCAATCGTGTAATCTACAAGACCCACACAATTTGCCGTAATTGTTTTAATAAGCTTCCTCAATTGACCGGCAACACGTCCAACATGCAGATGCATATCCTACGGTACCATCCCGAAATCAATTTAGTTGGAGCACAGAACACAACCCAAAAGCAGCAGCCTACACTGCCTAGTTTAGCTTAATAATTTGCATAGTTATTATTGTTCTTTGGTGTTCAGATTATACAGGTTTTTCCTAATGTTATTTAATAAAAATACCAGTATATATATATATTTTTTCTCAAAATATTTTTTTTCACCTCAAGCCCCGCCCCCTCAAGCCCCACCCCCGTGACAGAATCGCGATACGAATCGAATCGTGGGTCAAAAATCGTGATACGAATCGAATCGTGGGTTTGGTGTATCGTTACAGCCCTAGTACTTAATACTGTAATTTTGTCACTGCCTTTTACAGTGATACTCAAAACATGTTAAGAAGAATGCTCTAATAATGTGGATTTTTAGGTCACAGGCTAACTATTATAAGGCAACAAGACAAAATGCATGAAGAAACGATGCCCAGACTAAAAAAGAACACCTCCAGCGCTCCAGTTGTGGATTGCAACATCAAGTTATTCTGTTATTGCGATTAAGAAGCAGGCTTAAAGTTGAGCTGACAACAGCTTGTGGAGGAGCATTGTTTATTTATGCAGAGTTAATAAATGTGCACTACAGAGCAGTGCTGAATTGGGTCACCAAAAAAGCATGATGAGAAGGGGAGGGGGGGGTGGGGTGGGGGGGAGGCCTTAGGCAGAGTCGGGGATTAAGTCTTGACTGTGGAAGGCAAGATGGTGCTCTTTTTTCCTCCCTGGCAACTCTGCAGAGATAGAGTGAGTCGGTTAGTCGGGAGAGCGTTTCTCATTCTTTCTCAAGCACTGATGGCTCTGATGCGTTGCATTTTAATTGACAAACTTTGAGCTGTTAAATGGAGTCACTGCAGAGGAGTATTTAAAGCTTTGGTTGTGTATCCGCTTGTACTTTAGGAATGGCTGCGGGAGAAGTACACAGTAACCCGAGTCAGTGTTACACAAGCTGTTCAGAGGGGAAATAACGGAGAGAGATCTGTGATACAATTCTAAAAAGATTCATCTGCACACTGCTCAGCTCTAATACAGATTTTTTGATTGCCCTGTATGCTATGCAAATTGTTATCAGTCAAGTTGAGCTATAAGTTCCTCTCTCTTTAATTGAAAACAGAACGCTGGTCAATATATTGTGTTTTTTTTGGTGCTATTATGCGCATAAGAGTGAACGACTTGCATCTACTGTATGTGTGTTAAATTTGATTCATCTGATTGTGCTCGCTGCACGAGTGGCCTGTAGGAACTGCTGTATGGAGAAACCAGAGAACAAAAGCAGTACTAGTCAGTCCACTCACCCTTTCCAGTGTAATCTCCTCATACTCAAAGTCAGCCTCGGTACCGTTAACCTGTAAATAAAACAACATGTCAGAGACTCTTTACATATTTCAATACTCAATTCATTATCTTTTACCAGAGAACTGTATTCATTTCATGGATTGTTTAGTAGACTGTTGCATATGTGGGGTATACAGGAAGTCAATGAGAGTTCATTCAGGAAAATAAAACTTAATGCAAACAGACCAAGTAAACCTGTAAAACTCCACCATCCCATTCTTTTTTTTTTAATTACTTCTTTCTTTAAAACAACTTTGGTTACGGAGATAAACAAATTTTGGAAAAAGCATTTGTAACTAGGGATTCATAATGAATTTTCTTGTTATTGCTGAAAACGGATAAATAGCAGATAATAAAATGATATACTATTTTCTTTGTGTAAATAAATAAAAAATAAAGCTAAAAGCTAAAATCAGTTGTTTTACATGCTACAATGAATTTAAGCATTACAACATTATAATGTACTGCAAGAAACTCAATCTAAATGTTATATTAAAGGAAATGAACATGCACAATTTTGTATCTAATATGCCAATACACATCCAGTAAATAAATAAAAAACTCTAATATTGGCCAATAATCAATTCATCAAAAAATTTCTGAATCCCTATTTATAACCATATTTTGCTTCGTATTATGAAGAACAAAACAATGAATGAAACTGGCAACTGCTTAAAAGAAGCTTCTTCAGAGCTCATATTGCCATCACGTGGTGTATAATCTGCAAAGAGAAATGTATCTTAAGGGACCACATGGATTTCTTATTGATTTTTTTATTTTTTGCCCTATATCCTGATCCTATAAACAAATAAAACATTATGGCCATTGACCTGTCACAGGTGAAGCGAATATCGCTGATCATCTCCTAACAAGGCACATAGGTCTGGGTGGATTAAATGGTATAAGCAAACAATCAGTTCACGTAACGTGTTGGATGCAGTAGAAAAGGCGTTGAAAAGAGACAAATTGTTATGGCAAGGCGACTGGGTCAGAGTTTTTCTGAGAATTTACCAAGAGGGGTCCAAGGAGGAACAAACCACAAACACCGCCCAATACTCATTGATGCATGAGAGCAACGGTTTTCCAGCTATAAGTACAGTTATAGATGAAAAGTTAAACTAAAATAAAATCTTGCGGTATCAAAAGCTCAGAAACGATTATATATTTTGAGGAAGCTTAAGTCTTTCGATGTAAACAAATCTATACTGATCATGTTTTATAGATCTTTTATTGAATGAGTTTTAACCTTTGCTATGATTTGTTGGTTTTATGAAACAAGTATCAAAAGCAGATCACAATTGCGGAGAGTTGTTAACCTAGGGTAAAAAATGACAGGCTCTGTACAGTTACAGTCTGAGTGTCTGTACAGTCTGCTCTGTGTGAGAAAAACTATCTTAGAAAGTGGTTGACCATTTTAGATGATACATCTCACATTTTGTATTTCGAATTTGAACTCCTCCCTTCGGAAAGACGATATAGTCCCCAAGTGGAGGACTGTTAGAGCTTCTAGATCTTTTGTGTCAAATGGAGTTTTGATTGTAAATACTCATTTGAAGCATAATGATACAGGTGCATTTTAAAGTTTATGCTTAAAGTTATGAGGAAAATTTGATGTACGGCTGGGTTTTCGTAGTTCATGTGTGTTTGTGATGTCTCGTCTTATGTCAGTTTGTATTTTATAGTTGATGCTGCATAAATTGCCCTGTGAAGGGACAAATAAAGATTACTACTACTAAATCAGTTAAGTCTGACAATTTCCGGGTCTAAATGCTCCTTCAGATTGCAAAAGCAACCAACGGTGCTAATATACACTCAGGTGTGCTGTAGTACTATGCGATTCATTATTTATGAATGGTTAAAATATTGGTGCCCAGGACACTGTAATCCTGGAGACGGTTGTGTACACTGTACGTTTTTAAATGAATAGTACTCATAAACATCTGTTCATTGTCTGTTTTTAGAACCAAACCTGAAGTAATCTTCTAAGTTCTCTGCTTTAAGACTCTCTTTTGACATAAATTTAAACCTCCTGACACTAAAATGACAAAGATGACCCTTAAACCACAGTGTCTATACAATATGTGACTGCAGTCAATGCAATTTTCCAGAAGAACTCAGCTTTGCTTATGTAATGGATAGAGGAATTGAGCCTACGTATTCATCAGCATTGTAGCTGGCTGCGTCTGGTTTGGTCTCAGCTCCATAGACAGTGCCACACTCACAAACCCCTCTGTACATTAAGGTAATGAGCAAGGACATTTCCAATCATTGATTTACCTTTATTGGTGATTAGTAGTTTTCATGATTTTATATTTATATTAAGTGTATTTAGTATTGAAGATCAGGGACTTAACTATTTGCACAATGTACACCTTTTGGTTCAGCAGGTGTAAACTTTGCACAACTATACAGTAAAATACTGAGCACCAAATCAGTATATTTGAATGGTTTGAATTATGTGACACTGACGACTGGAGTAATGGCTACTGAAAATTCAGCTTTGCAATCACAGGAATATATTACATTTGAAAATATATTGAAATGTATTGAAAAAAAAGTTATTTTAAATTCTAATCAATTTTCTCAATATAACTGTTTTTACTGTATGTCTGATCAAATAAATGCAGCCTCAGTGAGCATAATAACTGGTTCAGATTACATGATTTTTTTTCGTCTGTTGCGATAGTCACTGTGTCAGATTACGCGATTTTGACTTCTAAAATCTTGTGTCGTGGACAAAATATGTCAGACTACACGTTGCTTTCCGACCAGTCATCGCGTGCCGTCACTCACTCACTCACTCACTCACTCACTCACTCACTCACTCACTCACTCACTCACTCACTCACTCACTCACTCACTCACTCACTCACTCACTCACTCACTCACTCACACACTCACTCACTCACTCACTCACACACTCACTCACTCACTCACACACTCACTCACTCACACACTCACACACTCACTCAGACACTCACTCACTCAGACACTCACTCACTCAGACACTCACTCAATCACTCACTCACTCAGACACTCACTCACTCAGACACTCACTCACTCAATCACTCACTCAGACACTCACTCACTCAGACACTCAGACACTCACTCACTCACTCAGACACTCACTCAGACACTCACTCAGACACTCACTCACTCACTCACTCACTCAGACACTCACTCAGACACTCACTCACTCACTCACTCACTCACTCAGACACACACTCAGACACACACTCAGACACACACTCAGACACTCACTCACTCAGACACTCACTCAGACACTCACTCACTCAGACACTCACTCACTCAGACACTCACTCACTCAGACACTCACTCACTCACTCAGACACTCACTCACTCAGACACTCACACTCAGACACTCACACTCAGACACTCACACACACACTCAGACACTCACTCAGACACTCACTCAGACACTCACTCAGACACTCACTCAGACACTCACTCACTCACTCACTCACTCAGACACTCACACACACACACTCAGACACTCACTCAGACACTCACTCACTCAATCACTCACTCAGACACTTTCACTCAGACACTCACACACACACACTCAGACACTCACTCACTCAATCACTCACTCAATCACTCACTCACTCACTCACTCACACACTCACTCACTCACTCACTCACACTCAGACACTCACTCACTCACTCACTCACTCACTCACTCAGACACTCACTCACTCACTCACTCAGACACTCACTCACTCACTCACACTCAGACACTCACTCACTCACTCACTCACACTCAGACACTCACTCACTCAATCACTCACTCACTCACTCAGACACTCACTCACTCACTCACTCAGACACTCACTCACTCACACTCAGACACTCACTCACTCAGACACTCAATCAGACACTCACTCACTCAATCAGACACTCACTCACTCACTCAGACACTCACTCACTCAGACACTCACTCACTCACTCACTCAGACACTCACTCACTCAGACACTCACTCACTCACTCAGACACTCACTCACACACTCAGACACTCACTCACTCACTCAGTCAGACACTCACTCACTCAGACACTCACTCACTCAGACACTCACTCACTCAGACACTCACTCACTCACTCAGACACTCAGACACTCACTCACTCACTCAGACACTCACGCACTCACTCACTCAGACACTCACTCACTCAGACACTCACTCACTCAGACACTCACTCACTCACTCAGACACTGTGTAACACAATGTTGCCAAAGCATCAACATATTATATATAAATAATAAAACAAACAGTAAACATATATGTATAAATCATGTCATATGTAGCATTGTAAATATATAGATAAATAAACACAATCTATCTTAATAAATAGATAAATAAATACATTTGGTCACTCTGGAGAATTAGCTGTCTCTGGCGTTGTGAATAGCTAGCACATATTTAGCCGCTAGTGCAGCTGTATTAACATCTTCTCCCAGTAAGAAGGACATTTTGTCAGTGTCGCTCAGTTCATAGAATGATGGGATCAAGGCTTCAAATTTGGGCAGAAAAGTTTCTCTTATACTGGTATATTTAGAGCAGAAGAGCAGAAAGTGTTCCTCATCCTCTATGTGCTGTAGATCACAGTGTCTACAGATCCTCTGCTCTCTCTCTGTCCATGTCTGTCTATGTCTTCCTCTCTCTATCTCTAGATCACTCACTCACTCAGACACTCACTCACTCACTCACTCAAGACACTCACTCACTCAGACACTCACTCACTCAGACACTCACTCAGACACTCACTCACTCAGACACTCACTCAGACACTCACTCACTCACTCACTCACTCACTCAGACACTTTCACTCAGACACTCACACACACACACTCAGACACTCACTCAGACACTCACTCACTCAATCACTCACTCAGACACTTTCACTCAGACACTCACACACACACACTCAGACACTCACTCACTCAATCACTCACTCAATCACTCACTCACTCACTCACTCACACACTCACTCACTCACTCACTCACACTCAGACACTCACTCACTCACTCACTCACTCACTCACACTCAGACACTCACTCACTCACTCACTCACTCACACTCAGACACTCACTCACTCACTCACTCAGACACTCACTCACTCACACTCAGACACTCACTCACTCACTCACTCACTCACACTCAGACACTCACTCACTCAATCACTCACTCACTCACTCACTCAGACACTCACTCACTCACTCACTCAGACACTCACTCACTCACACTCAGACACTCACTCACTCAGACACTCAATCAGACACTCACTCACTCAATCAGACACTCACTCACTCACTCAGACACTCACTCACTCAGACACTCACTCACTCACTCACTCAGACACTCAGACACTCACTCACTCAGACACTCACTCACTCACTCACTCAGACACTCACTCACACACTCAGACACTCACTCACTCAGTCAGACACTCACTCACTCAGACACTCACTCACTCACTCAGACACTCACTCACTCAGACACTCACTCACTCAGACACTCACTCACTCACTCAGACACTCACTCACTCACTCAGACACTCACGCACTCACTCACTCAGACACTCACTCACTCAGACACTCACTCACTCACTCAGACACTGTGTAACACAATGTTGCCAAAGCATCAACATATTATATATAAATAATAAAACAAACAGTAAACATATATGTATAAATCATGTCATATGTAGCATTGTAAATATATAGATAAATAAACACAATCTATCTTAATAAATAGATAAATAAATACATTTGGTCACTCTGGAGAATTAGCTGTCTCTGGCGTTGTGAATAGCTAGCACATATTTAGCCGCTAGTGCAGCTGTATTAACATCTTCTCCCAGTAAGAAGGACATTTTGTCAGTGTCGCTCAGTTCATAGAATGATGGGATCAAGGCTTCAAATTTGGGCAGAAAAGTTTCTCTTATACTGGTATATTTAGAGCAGAAGAGCAGAAAGTGTTCCTCATCCTCTATGTGCTGTAGATCACAGTGTCTACAGATCCTCTGCTCTCTCTCTGTCCATGTCTGTCTATGTCTTCCTCTCTCTATCTCTAGATCACTCACTCACTCAGACACTCACTCACTCACTCACTCAGACACTCACTCACTCAGACACTCACTCACTCAGACACTCACTCACTCAGACACTCACTCAGACACTCACTCACTCAGACACTCACTCACTCAGACACTCACTCACTCAGACACTCACTCACTCAGACACTCACTCACTCAGACAATCACTCACTCACTCAGACACTCACTCACTCACTCACTCACTCAAGACACTCACTCACTCAGACACTCACTCACTCAGACACTCACTCACTCAGACACTCACTCACTCAGACACTCACTCAGACACTCACTCACTCAGACACTCACTCAGACACTCACTCACTCACTCACTCACTCACTCACTCACTCAGACACTCACTCACTCACTCAGACACTCACTCACTCAGACACTCACTCACTCACTCAGACACTCACTCACTCACTCAGACACTCACTCACTCAGACACTCACTCACTCACTCAGACACTCACTCACTCAGACACTCACTCACTCACTCAGACACTCACTCACTCACTCAGACACTCACTCACTCAGACACTCACTCACTCAGACACTCACTCACTCACTCAGACACTCACTCACTCACTCACTCAGACACTCACTCACTCACTCACTCACTCAGACAATCACTCACTCACTCAGACACTCACTCACTCACTCACTCACTCACTCAGACACTCACTCATTACCTCAGACACTCACTCACTCAGACACTCACTCACTCACTCAGACACTCACTCACTCAGACACTCACTCACTCAGACACTCACTCACTCACTCAGACACTCACTCACTCAGACACTCACTCACTCAGACACTCACTCACTCACTCAGACACACACTTAGACACTCACTCACTCAGACACTCACTCACTCACTCAGACACTCACTCACACATTTAGACACTCACTCACTCAGACACTCACTCACTCAGACACTCACTCACTCAGACACTCACTCACTCACACTCACTCACTCACTCAGACACTCACTCACTCAGACACTCACTCACTCACTCAGACACTCACTCACACATTTAGACACTCACTCACTCAGACACTCACTCACTCAGACACTCACTCACTCAGACACTCACTCACTCAGACACTCACTCACTCAGACACTCACTCACTCAGACACTCACTCACTCACTCAGACACTCACTCACTCAGACACTCACTCACTCAGACACTCACTCACTCACTCAGACAATCACTCACTCACTCAGACACTCACTCACTCACTCAGACACTCACTCACTCACTCACTCAGACACTCACTCATTCCCTCAGACACTCACTCACTCAGACACTCACTCACTCACTCACTCAGACACTCACTCACTCAGACACTCACTCACTCACTCAGACACTCACTCACTCACTCACTCAGACACTCACTCACTCACTCACTCAGTCACTCACTCACTCACTCACTCACTCAGACACTCACTCACTCACTCAGACACTCACTCAGACACTCACTCAGACACTCACTCACTCTCGCTCACTCACTCACTCAGACACACTTACTCTCGCTCACTCACTCACGCAGACACACACACACTCTCGCTCACTTTCTCACTCACTCACTCACGACGGAATCCGTCGTGCAGGGCCGCAAAAAAAATTAAACATGCTAGTCTTTTTATCGTGATGTCGGTTGTCGCCCACTATGACACACTATACGAGAATTATACACTATATTGCGTCCCGACGCCCGTTGTCGTTTACGAATCCCCATGACACCCTACGTCAAAAGGATCGGGCTAAAATCATGTAATCTGAACCAGGCATAAGACCTCTTTTTTATCTTACCGACCCCAAACTTTTTGAAAAGTAGTGTACACGTTACTTTGTATTTGCCATTTAATTTATGACTAGGTGTGCGGATTCCTTTTGGTAGCTAGTAAATCTTCCAAGTCAACAAATTCAATAAATGATAGAGATATTAGCCTGATTTAATTCTCATCTCATTGAGCCACAGCAACACTGCCAACATAATGTAGTTTCCTCTAAACAAGCCAACCTAAAAACATTATTCTCACCCCACTTCCCTTCACAACATAATTTCCACATGGAGTCAATTATGGTCCCCGATCACATAAGACAAAAAGTCCCATGAGGCTCTGTATGCTACCCAGAACCTGCAGCACTGCTGATCCAGCAGAAAGGCTGGGGTGGAGGTTGAATGTGTGGCGCTTGATGAGAAAAACAGACGTAGTGGCCCTGAGTGGCACAATCAAGACTACTGACCTCACTACTCCACAGGAAGACTCAAGGGAAATGAAGTGGAAAACAAACCCAAGAGATGTCAGTTCACTACAGTGCTGAATGAACACCACACTTGACTAATGGGCCTTAGAAACGGTATTCCAAACTCTACGCTATCATGAGATTGAAGGTCCAGAGATACCCTGGTACTTGACTCAAAGTCAGTGACTTAAAACAGAATCCAGTAATAGCACATAGTGCAATAAATAAAATATGCTAAATAAAAAAAAAAAAAAAATTTAAATAAAAAAAGACTGCAGAAAATATATCTTGTCAACATGAGTTTAAGGCCCTGTCCCAAATGGCGCACTTCATGCGGACTTTCGGTCTCGTGGACTTAAATTGTGCGCGCTCGCCGAGTCTACGAGTCCGTAGGCCGTCCCATTTAGCATTTTAACGCTCTGAAGTGTGTTCAGCAGCGCCCCCTTTATACCCTTGAAGCGGTCTTTTCCGCGAAGCCCGCATAGATGCAGGCTCGCTCCACGCACTTTAACTACCCAGGAATCCTTGCGAAAGGCCAATCAGACAACGGATGGGAGGAAATTTCGCTCACGGACAATTGTTAACCTGGCTGAGAAGAAAATATTTAAGTGTAATTATCATTACGGTTTTTATGACAAGTTTATACAAACATTATGATCATCGACCAGTGGTTGATGTCTCAAACATAGGCTAATAATAGCGAGCTGAATAATACGATCGCATTATGATTCATTAAATAAATAGAACAGAATGTCAGGCCTTTACTGAGTCATATGTAAACACAACAACAATAGGCAGCATATTTGCCCGAACCTGTAGCTCCTGTCCATAACAACAATCAGACCGTCTTCCTGTTTCCGGCGTGACGATCGAGTCTGTCCCAAAAATACCTCTCAATGCGCCCTCGCGGACTCGCGCTAAGGGCCCTATAGGTCTGCACTACATGACGTCACAGAAGTGTGGACTCTGAGGAAGTCCAAAAGTCCGGAGTGTGCCATTTGGGACAGGGCCTAAGATATTGACTACACTTATAGTACCTCAGATATCAGACATTATTGTCTTCATGATTTTTCATCAAAATGTAATAACTTGCTCCGCCTCTGAAGTGGCTTTATGCTTTTTTACTAATCACATTACTTTTTTTTGCTACAAGTACTATGTGCCCTTAGGATAATATTAACAACATTTTAGGTGTAAATGACCTTCAAAGATGTGCCTTTGAGGGTACTGACCCAATGACAAGCTATTGTACCCACCTTTTTAAGAGTGTATTTAGACATCACATTCCAGTCACCATATTGGTACAGGATGCCCACTCAATCCAATCAATTCAAGATATATAAAGTCAAGAGCCGCCCGATATTTTTTCTTATTGAATATCCAGATTCTATTGAAAATCCATGACATTACATAAGCAAAATGGGAATGCCATCTGATTTTAAAAGTATTACACCTTTTTCTGCTGGCATCACCAAAAATAACTTGGCAATAACAGCTCGCTTACAAAAAGGAAACTGATAAAACTATGTGGCATGCTGGTCTGAGGGAATTCTGAATTTCAAAATGAAAAAAAAGTTAATAAAGTGTAAATAAGTGAAAAGAAAACTTACATATGGAGCTGAATCCAAGCTCTCTGTGTTTACCACGACAGGGGGAGGATTTGCCTGCAAGAGAAAACAGTCCAGTTAAGGCATCGATTCCAGCACATTTCTTGTTCCATCCAAATTGAACCTGGAACTCGAAGCGTTTCATAGATGCAGTAAGTAGGAAAAGCCGTGTTAAGCTTGCAGCATTCTACACAGCAAAGGTATATTCACTTACTCTCCACATGATGCTACATTTACCACCACTGGCATTCACACCAGATTAACACAGCACTGCCAGCATACGTACGTACATGGCATTTTATACTGCAGAACATGCAATGCTGAAGCATGAATGCTATTACGAGCCAAAAGTAGCCTAAAATTAAATCCACTCTCTCTCTCTCGCTTGCTCAATCTCTCTGTCTGTCTTTCTGTGGAGCTTTCCACTTCCTCCGGCTGGTTGACACGCAGATGCTATTAGTCAAGGGGAGCCGTGGTACTTTACCCGACTCTAGGGCCGATAATCCTTCAGCCCCATCAGAGAGCAGTGGAATGGCAGGGATCAAGAAAAAATGACCAACAGGAAGAGAGCAAAAAAAAAGAAGGGAGGGGGGAGTGGGAAAATAGAGAAAGAAAAAAAAGACCTGTGACGTCGATGGAGAGATGACAGCGGGCTCCGCAGGGACAGTGGAGATTGGGATCACAGGGATTATGAGAGTGGAGGGTGGGACAGCATCTGTCTGCTGAACAATAGCATGGAAGGGGAGAGGTCAGTTCACATATACATACACAACAACACAACAATGCACATCATTGCACAGGAACCAGCCATGGAGGATGGGTGCAAGTAGGTGTCTGTATGAGAATGTGTGCAAGATTGAAGCAAATCTGAAGGTGGAGGGCGGGGGGATGTGAGACGCTCCGTTAGTGATTATTGAAGAATTCAGATGAGGGGAGAATGGAAATGAGCATGTGAATGAGAATACGGCCATAATCCACCCAGTTGCACATGGTACAGTTACTCCTGACATAATCAACAAAGCCACTGCAAACATGCAAAGCCACTCTAGAGTTCTATTATTTATTAATAAAGTCAAGCTTGTTACAAAACTGTAATGAAAACATGTTCAAAGTGATAGTTCACTCAAATAGCTATGCATTCCACCAAAGCTTTCACGCTTCAAAAAGTTCATAAAGATATTGTAAAAGTAATCCGTATGGATTGAGCGGTTTACTAATAGTCTTTTGATAAGACACGGTCACTTTATATGATTAACAGATTTAATTTGGGCTTCTATTCTCATATAAACATAGATCAACACACATACATTGAGCGCATTAAATACGGTAAATGTAAGCCCAAACCTGCTTGCTTGACACACAAAAACAAGGATGTTTGTTTGCGTGCGTCATGCAAGTACATTAGTGCTTCTGCAAGTAAGTGAGGTTTGTTTGCACTTCAAGCAAGTACAGTTGAGCTGCCGTTAACCATGTTTGATGTGTGTTGATCAATGTTTGTCTGTGAATAAAAGAAAAAATTGAATGATATCATATGCGCCAGAGAAACTAGCGAGCAGCCATCTTTGTCGAGGAGTAATTAGCTGGTAAAGTGGACTGACTTATTGTAAAGTTAGCGAAAGTTCTCATGCGGATTGTAATGTTTAAAGCAGATGTCTTAACAAATGTCAGTAGACCGGGAAGATTTTAAAACGAGCCGTTCATTCATTAAAACGCAAGTTCACTGTGAAATTACAGACCGGAAGACAAAAAACAACGAGCGCAGCGTTGAAAAGGGGCGGGGCTAGATAAGGTCTATAACGCGATTGTGTCTCTTTAGAAGACTTGGATTAAACCGCTCGATTCATATAGGTTAATTTTATAAAGTCTTTATGTACTTTTTGAAGTATCAAAATGAATGGAGTGAGTGAGTGAATGAGTGAGTGAACGAACAAACGAGGCATTTATGGACTTTCAGTAGAGGTGCAGCAATCTCTCAGGTTCTACTAAAAATACCACAATTTTTGTTTTAAAGATGAACGAATGTCTTATGGGTTTGGAATGACATGGGGGTGAGTAAATGATTGCGTCTTAGCCTACTCAATTGTTTACTCATGACACATAGCAACACCGCTAAAAGTTTTTTATGTGTTTTTCAATACAAATTAGATTCAACAATCCCTTGATTACATCCATGCTGACCATTGATTACTATAAGAATTGAAAATTGAAAAGTAGCATATGCATACCTACACACATAAACACTCACTTATATGCACAGGGTAAAACAAAAATTAAGAAATAAAAAAACACTGGTTTGGCATCCATTTAGAGTTTAATAGAGAGAAATATTGTCAATAATACGGCATTATTTAGAATGATCAAAATACTCAATGAAGGGGCGCCAGATCCTAAGGAATTATAAAAACAAGACATTATATCTCTGATCCACTGGATGTGAGTGGGTGAAGCAGCCTCTTTCCACATTGATGCTGATAACCATGACTCTGCTGGGGCAACTAAATATTGCCAACAAGGGGATCTGGCACTAACCTGTGCTGGAGCTGAAAGACTGTCAAATACAGATAGACAATAGTGCCCTAATTTAGGGCATCTCCAGAACATGTGAACTAGTGAACCCTTGGAACACTGACATCTGTTACAGATGGGACTAGTACCACGGAAAATTTGAGCTAATTACATTTTTTTACATATGAGCTCTATGTAATACTTTGAACTGAATAAGCGAGTACCGAGCACACACTGATGATGAGTGGACCTGCATGAGGATATGGTCCCATGTGTCATCTGAGAGTGGTCTGCCAGGATCTTCCTCGAAAAAGTACTCAATATTATCTAAAGATCAATTTTATCAGATGCCTGACCTGTTATTACCTTATGTTCAACATCACCACGGGTAATTCCAGTAATCTGCTGACTTTCACGTAGGGCAATTGCTAAAGGCTCAATGGCTAAAGTGACTAATAAATGGGCTTAAAGGACAGACCTGTCGAGTCCCACAGTACAAATTAAATGGTCTAGACTAGAGTACAGACTATTGGTCAGGACTACTGTGGAGGGAGCAATATATAATAATTGAATCCAAGAAAGACCGGGCCAAATCCAAATGTTTTCAAAACTAAGATAAGGTACACCCACTTCACCCTATCAAATGCCTTCTTGGCATCAAGAGAACACCCACTCTGGGGTAGCCTGACATCATTTGTGACATCACTCAAAAAATTAGAATATCGTGCAAAAGTTCATTTATTTCAGTAATTCAACTTAAAAGGTGAAACTAATATATTATATAGACTCATTACATGCAAAGTGAGATATTTCAAGCCTTTAATGAGTCTATATAATATATTAGTTTCACCTTTTAAGTTAAATTACTGAAATAAATGAACTTTTGCATGATATTCAAATTTTTCGAGTTTCACCTGTATCAAGCTTGAATGATCGGGATCAGTATTGGCCTGATCATCATGACAAGTAATCGCCTCAGTAGTCGGTATTGGCTGCAAAAACCCTGATTGGAGCATTCCTAGTCAAAGGCATACAAAATAGAATAAAAGTCCCTAAATGTATCATTAATTATGCTTTGTTCAGTTGTGACTTCCCTATTATCCAAACAAATAATTTGTTATCCTACGTAGCTGATTAGCCAGTGGGTTTCCAGATTACTCCCCACTTTCAAAATAAACACTTCTAGTTCTTCTCAAAAGGTTCTCTATTTCATTGGAATAAAGCCAATCATACTCTGACTTCAGTTTAAGACGCTTCTTATACAGGTCCGGAGTAGGAGACCTGGCATATTGTTCATCCAACCTAGAAATCTCATTTGCAAGAAAGATTTGCTTTTCTTAAGACTGTTTTCTTTAGTTAGTGGCATAAGAAATAATATGACCTCTTACATATGCCTTAAGAGCCACCCACACTGTTGAATCGGAGATGTCTGCTGATTTATTGACGCTTAAAAAGACAAATTTGATCAGCTTTATGGGAGACAAAGTTCTCATCTGCCAAGAGAGAAATATTAAAATCCCAATTTCTCCTAGAAGAGGCTAAGTTCAAAAAAGTCAAGTCAAGAGATAAAGGAGCATGATCCGATATGACAATACTTCGGTATGCACAAGATTGAACTCTAGGAATCAAACCATTATTCAGAAAAAAGTACTCAATCGGGGAAAAAGTATGATGAACTCTTGAAAATTCAACAGTTCCATAACAATTATATAAAGGCCATTCTGTTATGATATTGTGCTGTTATGTTTTGATGTTTGTGGTCATAGAGTGTTATTGAGACTCTTACTACTTGTTTACTGAGCTGTGTGACGACAAGCAGAACGATGAGCTACACATTCATGGGCATGACTGTAACACTGTGACAGGGCAGAAGTCCACGTCATTATTTGACGTCCAGCCTGAGGAATGGCTTGGAGGAGTTGGACTTACTCGGACATAACACTCACAATCCCCCAACTGAGATCACAGGCGATTCTCAGCCACTGATGTACAATATGCACAGATTTCACAATTAACGCTGTATCTATCTACAAAGAAAGTTTGAAGGCATTTCACGCAGTCAGAAATTAAAGTGTCTATATAGGATTTACACACTTCTGTGTTTTCATTTTCATTCATTTTTCCACATAAAAAAGTTTGGAATGGCCATACCAGTCTAAAATAGTTTAAATAGAATATAAACACTTATTATAGGTTTACCATAGTGATTCAGGATAAGACAAAAACACGGTTCGGAAAATTTATTCATTATGTACTTGCTTATTATATAAACTTTGTCAATTTTTAACTCAAAAAAAGTTACAGACTGCAGCTAGGATAGTTAGATTTGAACTATTACGTTTCTTTGTTAAAATTGAGAGTTATGTATCATAACAAACATCCATGTTGCCATAAAAATATTTCATGAGTTTTTCACAGTTGTTGTAAATTAATTTAATCGATTTGCAGAGTCATACATTTTAATTTTACAAGTCAGTTGGACAATTAAACATTTACCTGAACTTTAGCCTCAAATTTACTAAAACATCAAAGTTTTAATTTTACCGTGAGAAGGACAAATAAGAATCAAATCACTAAGTATCTGAAATTAGTGAAGGTTCTCCAGTAAAGTGCAGATATAATGTGTAAGCAAAGGCTCCACCATAACAAGACAATATACAGAGAGACATTTAAGATTATTTACAAGTTATTTACAATACGAATATTTTTCTATTAATCTATTAGTCTGCATTTAAATTGCACGTACTGTATCTATATTGGCATGCCATATTTTTGTCCCGTGCTAGCTAGCTATCACTGTCAATTGCAATTTCGGAGTGAATCCTGCATTTATATGTAGATGTCACATCCGAAATTTTGTAAAATGTAAAAGCCGTCGGTCCTATTTGCATCATGAAAAACAAAGTCCCTTGCTCTAGAAGTACTGGTCATTTTTAGTTAATGCTAACAATGCAGATTACAATAAAATCATGGTTTCCACAAAAATATTAAGCAGCATCAATAATACATGTTACTTCATCACCAAATCAGAATATTAGAATGATCACTGAAGGATCATGTGACACTTAAGCCTAGAGTCATGATTCTGAAAACTTAACTTTGCCAACAAAGAATAAATTACTTTTTGATTACATAACTGTTTTTATTGTATTTTCGATCAAATAAACACAGCCCTGGTTAGCATAAATATATATATAAATTGTTACACCAAAGTGTC